CTCCAGTAAGTGTTCTCCAACGGCCCTGTTGGAAAGACGCCATTCAGAGGAATGCAAACCACAGGTCTGTTTGCTGATAGACAGTTCTTCATTAATTCATATATATACGTAGTGGATGTACCATTAGGAACCGAGATACTGTGATGCTTTAGTGTTGTGGTTAATCTATATCACCGCAATGCCGTGTTGAAATCGGACCACTGTGCAGATCTGTGTACCTTTTGAATCTGGAAGTGGTAGACAACATACACACACCCACAATCATGGTTTGATGTTTTTTAAGGTTATGAAATCTACCCAGATGGCGTGTCCAAATAGCTGTGCAAATTTGTTAAAAAGACGAAGGCTGCACTTGAAAAACATGCATGCTTTTCTCCTCTTTAAAGGACACTTCATGATGATGACTAAATTATTTAATCTAATGACATTTACTGCTCTGCCTTCTGTGAAATTACTGGAGGAGTCAGCTGTCATGTAGTCAACACGTGAAATGAAATGGCATTTATCTGCGTGCAGTTGGAATGCTTTCTCTATCTGGGAACGTTTACCCATGCTGAGACACTCTCCAAGCTAATGCTTTTCCAAGGACATGCTGTACACAGAGTACATGGAGACTCTGCCCAGTCTGACACAGCATAGGACTAGTCTTCCCTGCATAAAGTACGAATTAAATGTAGATTAATCCTTATTAATAGGGATGCACCGAAATAAAAAAAATTGGGCTAAAACCGGAAATTCTGGTTCATTTTTGTATTACTATTAGACTTTTTAATTAAATTCAGAACTTTTTTTTTCCACTTTGAGTTTTTATTGGAATTTTATGACAACACCAAATAAAACAAAAAAGGGAAAATAATAAAAAGAAAATAACTAAACATACAATAAATAAAATTAAATTCAGAACTTTTAATGCATATGAATATAAAAAATGCAGGCCAATAAAATAAAATAACCACACTTTATTTAAAGGATCACACCAAACTTGGCCATAAAATATATTCAAATAATATTAGATATCAATATATTATTCTTCGTTCAGTTCTAGTGTTGTCACGATACCAAAATTATTGTTTCGATACCGATACCAAGTCAAGAATTGCGATTTCGGTACTTTTCCCGAAAAGGAAAGTATTACAAGGCGTTTTATATGCACTCACATAGCCTATAAATCATTTTAGCTGATGTTTTGTAGGCTTTATTTTAGCAGCTTGCAAATTATTTATGCTACCTGTGAAAATAGGGGGGGGGGGGGAGTTGTACACCTAATACAAAAATAAATAAAATATCTCTAACTAGCAGATAATTCATTTAGTTTGTTATGAAATAAAATAAGAGATCTAGCTCTAAAATCTGTTGTTTTTTTAAATCAAGCGCAGCGCTCTTTTTCGCTGCTTTCAGTTACAGTATCTTTTGCGGCTCGCGCAGTCGCGCACCATCTTCACTCGGACGCGCGCTTCAGTCTTGCAAAGTACAACTATCAGACCGGCCCTCGCGGCCTCGAAGCGCTACCGGCTACCGCGTATGAAATACGTCTCTTACAAATCTGGAACGCGGCCATTCATAAAAGTATCGATATTCGATACTAATAAATGTAGGTATCGTGAGGTTTTTCATTTCCGCGAATCGCGATACTTTTGAAGCATCAGTGCAACTCTATTCAGTTCCATGCAACAGAATCAGATTCAGCAGATTTATTTTTTGACCAATTATCACAATAAAGTAGTATTGCATTTTACAATAGTTTTAATAGTTGACCAAAAGTTAGTCGACGAGAAGAGAATTAGTCGATCAAGATTTTAATAGTTGGTTAGCCGCAGAGAAAGTGACTAATGCTGAGTCCTGATGGTAATTACCGTGTGTTGGGGAATAAATCCAAACGTTCGCCTATCATCCATCAACATGGCTTATTATTTGAAACAAGTTAGTAGTAATAACTAGAGCCAGACCGATAAAGGATTTTGAAGGCCGATACCGATACAAATATTTGTTGGTTTTAAAATCCGATATTCCGATATATCGGCCGATATTATTATTTCAGAAACGCGCAACAAAATATTAACAGATTTCCCTAACATTAGTTATTTATATATGAGTTTTAATTAAAATAATATGATGATGCATTTTAAAAAGAAACTTGTTTTTATTGTCACAACAGAATGGAGGAACATCAAAATATATTAAAGTTCTGATACATAAAATAATAATTAGCCCCTACATTGCCTTATAGTTATAAGTTACCTCATAATTACAATGTCAGCTTGCTTATCCCTTTACCTGCACTTTTTGACAACACTCATGACATGGTTGAAGCGTGATTCGTCCGTTTTTATTTTATTTTTTAATTGTAACATTATAACTGCTGATACCGATATTTTAGAAAATGCCGATATATCGGTCTGGCTCTAATAGTACCTTTACATGTGCTTTCTCTGACGTTAACCTAGATAAGGTTTTGCTATTTAAGTATTGCTGAAACTCCAGAAGAAGTTCCTGCGCTCCGCTCATGAAGAATGAGCCATTGGAAATCGTTTAGAGCCGACTTTAGTTTAATTAGACTGCCTGAGGAGAAGATAAAAGACACACGATGCACTCTTAGCTGAATCGTCTCATTCATTCATGTATTCATTTTTATTTATAGCCGTGTGAAGTGACTGGTCATGATTAGTCTGCAGCTTTTTACATGACTAGGACCGCGTCCAAACGGGTAATTATCATTAGAGTCATCAACCAGCACATCATCACATGGTCACTGTGTGTGTGTGTGTGCACAAAAACAATAACACAGACTATAACACTATGACTCTGTGAGTCTTTTTCTTGAAGTCAGTGTTTTTACATCTTGTAAGGAAGATTTCAGCCTAATGACTAATATTTTCAACATCAATATTTCAACCTAATGACCTCATGTTCAATAATTAGGGATAATTTCAAGGCATTTTCAATGATTCAAGTTTCACATCTAAATGGCATCAAGGTATCAACAAGTGCATGGTCTCAACTCATAGAAATCCTTTCAAATTTTGAAGAAAATTTATTTTTCTTGATGTGAAGTGTATATAAGAGATCATGAAATCAAGTTTGGGCTTGTTCACAATCATGTGAACTGTATCTGGGCCAAATACGGTGTTTCACTGAACATAAAAACTATTTGCTACTTAAAGGCAACAAAGCATAAAATAATTATACATTGAATAAGTAAGAAGATCAGCACTGTTCCAGCTGTTCCTGTTTTATGCCACATAAATCAAGACCTGTCAATCTGAGCGATCAATTCAAGCACACTACAGCTGTAAAACACTGTCCATTTGGTCTCTGTACACCTACCCACAGGAGATCCAGTTTCCATTGTTTGAAGATTAGTTGGAAAACACTGCGTCATGAAATAGAGGTCATTTCCCCTCAGTCTAGGGGTCGTTTGTACTGAAGAAATGCTGTAAAATCACTGAAGAATGCTTGAACAGAAACACAAAATTGACTTTTCCTCTTGAACCTTCATTCCTGCAAAGCTTACATTTGTGGTTGTTTACTGTAAACATGTTCCCTGTTCATTTATACACACAGATGTATGTGGTAACCAACAGTATAGCACATAAACATGGTGAAAATAAACCAGAATTTAAACTTTTGTGTCACTTTGGTCCGTAGTCGTCTAGTCAACTGTAATGTTCTGCCGTGACACTGAAGCTTGACGTCGACTAGTCGCTGATCATGGCCTATAGAGGGCGCAACAGGATAAGAAATCTTTCTTATTCTGTTGTTTGAAACGTTCACTTTTACACTTCGTTTCGTTTCCAAAAAGTGGCAAGGAGTGCGCTCCATAAGATAAAGTATGTTCGATTATATCTCAATGCTCAATGTATCGGGTGAATGCACGTTTTAAACGGCTTATTATACACTAATTAATCACTGTTCTAAACTAATGCGCTGCCGCATTGTTGCAAGAAATCGCAATACTGAGCTCGCTATGTGATACTATTGTGATATTTTAAGCCAAACTAACACACTTTTTTATATTATTATTAAAATGATATTTTATTATTATCAGGACCCACAAATATTCCTTCACTGCGTTATTATGCATTATATTCAACATTATATATAGTAGTTGTATGTAGTATTGTAACAACTCCTTAAACTTTAATTTTGTCCTCACGCTTGGATCTACACAGACAAAACCATGCGTCTCTCCTGCTATTAATGCACTATACATATAAGAATAAACCACCATAAACGCTTTAAATAATCATATTACTAAAACTGAATGTGATTTGGTGATTTAAATTATGTTTGCGCTTTCACTTTTTTCACTAATTGGCGATTTCCGAACTGTAAATGATTAGTTCATCCAAAAATTTAAATTCTGCATTTGAAGAGTTCAGATGCAAAAGCCTCTAAATGCCATTTGAAATTTTCTTCTTTAATGATGATTTTTATCAAACTTGTATATTTAAGTTCAGTAATTTCACTTAAATAACAATTAATAGGTAATTATTATTGCCATTTAAGTGAAATCACTGAACTTAAATATACAAGCTTGATAAAAATCATCATTAAAGAAGAAAATTTCAAATGGCATTTAGAGGCTTTTGCATCTGAACTCTTCATTTACTCTCTGCCATGTTGTTTTTGTGCACCATGCAAGCAAGCATATTCTGCTGTCTCCTAATTATGATCCCAAATAGATAAACATTGAGTCTGCTCTGTAAATTACTTAAAAAAAAAATATATATATATATATATATATATATATTTTTTTTTTATTATTATTCTTTTCTCTGATATCTGCCTACAATGTTAAAGTTGTTTTGTGCCAAAACGGTTGTAGACCTTTGCAGGTCTTTATATTCCACACTGCAAACAGTTGTTTTGTGCCCAAACTTTAATTTAATGCTGTGAAGAAATAGTTTAATCTGTTTTTATTTGTTTCCCTTTGATGATGATTTGTTGCATACCCTGTATGTGACCTCTGACCTTGTCTTGGTGTATTCTTGTCTCTGCAGCCCAGAATGTGACGGTGGAGGAGATTCTCAATGCCTACAGACAAGCATGCCAGAAGCTCAACTGCAAACCAATCCCAAAAGTGCTCAAACAGATACAGGTAAACACACCTCTGGGAATTCCTTAAACATTCGTTCAAGTCCTCTTCGAAGTCATAAAGCTTTGCATTCACACCTGGGACACCTTTTTCCCATTAAGAGGCAATATTTGCTTTGCAATATTTGATTACCATATTATATGTATCTGTGTTGTTTTTATGTCAAATAGTTACATTTCTTCAACCAGTTACTTTAATCAGTCAGAATACTATTGATTGTTACCAATTTTATCAACATGAACAAAAGACATCTTTATACTGCAAAGGTGGAACAGAAGCTGCATCTGACATGGTATGTTTATTCACACAGACAGTATAATGCTGATCCATTTACACAACAATTGCACAATGTTAATAGCCTACATAAAGTATATAAATGATAAAACAGGAATTCATTACAGGGCAGAACTGCAATATTATTACATCATTATTGCTTTTGATGTTGTAATAATGATTATTATATTCATGTTGATTAATATAATACATAAAACAAATGTGTGTTGAAATGGCTCAGAGAAAAGTTTAGAACTATGAATTAATTTATTGATTTTTAATTAGGGCTGTCAAGCGATTAATCGTGATTAATCGCATCCAAAATAAAAGTTTGTGTTTACATAATAAATGTGGGTGAAACTTTGGTGGGTAAAACTTTTGCTGATAATTTACTCACCCCCATGTCATCCAAGATGTCCATGTCTTTCTTTCTTCAGTCGAAAAGAAATTAAGGTTTTCGGTGAAAACATTCCACGATTTTTCTCCATATAATGGACTTTAATGGGGTCCAAACGGTTCAAGGTCCAAATGAGAGTTTCAGTGCAAACTGCAAACTGTTCAAAGTGCTTTAAACGACACCAGACGATGAATAAGGGTCTTATCAAGCGAAACGATCGCTCATTTAATGCACAAAATTAACAAATCTTTTTCCGAGTCAATTCGTTCGTTGAATGAACCAAACGATTCGGAAAAAGATTCGTTCATTTTGATGAGCGAGTTCGAACAGGAGAGTCACGAACGCTCATCACAGAACAGAGCAAGGTGAGCATTTGTGCTTATAAAACTTAAACTTTGTTTTTTATTTATTAAATGAGTGATCGTTTCGCGTGATAAGACCCTTATTCATCGTCTGGAATCGTTTAAAGCCCTTTGAACAGTTTGCACTGAAACTGTCTTTTGGACCTTGAACCGTTTGGACCCCATTAAAGTCCATTATATGAAGAAAAATCCTGGAATGTTTTCATCAAAAACCTCAATTTCTTTCTGACTGAAGAAAGAAAGACATAGACATCTTGGATGACATGGGGGCGAGTAAATTATCAGCAAAAGTGTTTTTTTTTAAAGTGAACTACTCCTTTAATAATCTCTATTGTGTCCCTAGTTGGCCCGTCGCGCTGGATTACATTTGTACTCTGATCACAAACATATAACCTCACTAACCTCTGGCGTCGGGCCAGTCACATGCCTCCTGACTCCCTTTGGCTTCTGCTCGCTTACTGAACGCCTCTTATAGGCACAGCGTTGTAAACGTACCATACTGAGTCAACAAACGTTCATTTCTGCCTGTCCTGATGACACACTGATGACCCAGTCAAATTCTGGGTGATTTGCATGTAGCGTTATAATGGTTTGGTCAGAGCTCAACAGGATTGTGCATGTTTTTTTTGTCAGTTAATGTTCAACTACTAGACTTCCTATAACAATAAGCAATTATGCATGTAATTACTAATGTTATGATTTTCAAAGGTTCAAATTTGACGTTACTACAAGAGTCTTAATGGCTCTGCAGCAACAACAACAAATAATAAACAGGTCATGAAAAGCAAATTATGACACTTGTTAGGGAATAATAAAACTTGATAATAAATCCATGTTAACCCTAAAACCGCATTTTGGACAAATGTGGGCAAAATAGTTTGATTTATTTTTTAAAAATACTTCCCTTGATCTGAGCGGTACAAGACGTGGCTACTTTTCCTAAGTTTGCCTCCTGAACACACACAATTTTTTTTTTACTCAATTCTACAATGTTAAGTGGGTGAAAAAACCTCCTTAATCTTGTATTTGGGTCAAAAATGGGCACCCATAGAAATGAATGGGAAAAACCGTAATTTAGAGCACTCTAAAATAAGCCAAAATAAGACACCAGGTGACAGCAAAGTCACTTCATCTTTAGGTTTTAGCTCTAAGAACTTATTGGAATGATATTTTAATGTATTAAAAATAAAACATAAAAATAAGCATAATTTACACAGAAAATATGGTACTTTTTGAAGTAAATAAATTCAAAAATACCCCCAAAATAAATAAACAACACCATAAATGGATAGACAAAACTTTATCGAAGACAGTGATATAATATTTATAATAAATACAAATTAGGATCACACCTGAGTCCTCAATTACAGGATTAAGGGCTATAAAGTGAATATGGTTTGAGGGTTTATACTTTTAGCCCTTTTGTTTATATATATATATATATATATATTAATCATTTTACACAGAAAAACCACAGTGATGCAAGATAAAATATCATGAAATTAAGAATAAATAATCTGAGAATTTCCAATTTCAACACCAATTGAAATAAATTAATTTAATTAAATTGATTTAAACTTATAACTCATGGTTGGCCAAAAACGGTCCAAATTGATGAAACCTACTGTTGCGTAACATTCTCTTTGAGATGAAAAGATAAATGTTGCACACTGCAAAGGTTCATCGATAGGCATATCCAAACGGACCTGAATGCATGATGAGAAAATAGACTGGGTGATTTTTAATTTCAGAAATGCATGAACGGTTTCAGGTGAGACTCGGCAGGGTGTTTTAAAGAGATAGGAGGACACGTGCATGCCTGCTGAAACCGATCGATGGATAGAGAGAGAGTGAGCAGCTTCTCTCGTCCGCTACTAGCTGAGTCACTGAAAACAGACAGAAAGAGAGCGATCGTGTTATCATGGCCTGATGTTTGCACAGAGATGCCAGCTAACACCCACAATCACTCACCAACCAGCACATGCTGTCGCTCTCCTCCCCTATTTCTCTCCGTTCCTGTTCTTTTGTGTTTCCCATCTGTTTCTTTTACACTTTAGTATACTTTTTTCATTTAATGTATTTTTGGTGCAATATGTGTAACCTGCAGTTGTGGCGAAGGACATCAGTCTGTTAAGTCCTTCCGATGGCATCGTGGTAAATTTCCACTGGGAGTCCCCAGGGCAGAAAATAGCCGGTCATTACTGAGTGTGTGTGTGTGTACGTATGTGTTTTTCCACCACCTCAGTCTGTGCTTGTGTTCCTCTCTCTTAATTGCTTAGTCACCCCTGGAAAAATGACTTCACAAACATGCCTATAAAAGAAATGCGCTGAAGAGAGAGAGAGAGAGAGAGAGAGACTAATGCTCCATTTATGATGGTTTACTTACCACAGATGGTGAATGGCCATAGATATGTATACATTTTAGGGCTGTCAGTTAAACACGTTATTAACGGTGTTAACGCAAACCCAATTTTAAGAGAAACCCAACAAAAAGAAATCAAGGACATTTAGAATAGATTAGGGATGGGCAACGATTAATCGCGATTAATCGCATCCAAAATAAAAGTTTGTGTTTACATAATATATGTGTGTATAATTAATTTGTATATATAAATACCCACACATGCATGTATATATTTAAGAAAAATGTGTTATTAATATATCAAATATTTATATTTATATATAATATTAATTGTGAATGAATATAAATATAATATAAAATATATACATGCACATATTTCTTAAATATATACATGCATGTGTGGGTATTTATATATACAAATTAATTATACACACTACACACACATATATTATGTAAACACAAACTTTTATTTTGGATCCGATTAATCGTTGCCCATCCCTAGAATAGATAAAAATGTGCGATTAATCACGATTAAATATTTTAATCGTTTGGCAGCACTAATATATATTTTTTTTCTTCTTTTTGAAGCCATATTATGCACTTGATTGTTTTGGGATCTACTAAATACGTTTTCATTGTTGATTTTTTTTAAAGAAATGTAATAAAAATCCCCATATTCTCCATTGTTGCGGCTCCTCACTCTCCAGTCTGTCAGTAACGCTCTGTTTACTTCCTGTCTCTATGAAGCCCCTCCCTCTGAAAAGCACACTGTGCTCTGATTGGTCGGCTGGAGCAGTGTGTCGTGATTGGTCGAGCGCTTCGAATGTGTTTGGGAAATGTCCAATAACCGCCAGTCTAACACACTACTAACTAACTCAACCAGGCCCCGCCCCTTTATTCTGCGCATTAATTATTATAATGAGGAATATTGTGACGTGTTCGATCCCGGGAGAAACTCAAGACTACAATGGAGGCGTTTCAGGAGTTCAGAAACACCGACACTGATATAGAGAAGAACTCCCGCTGGAGGGATAGTGCTCAAACAGCAAAAAAAAAAGCATAATAGGTCCTCTTTAATACAGTTTTTAGTCTCTGATTGCTGAGGAAAAGATGACTGCAGGTGGTGTGTGTAACAGCACAAACACAAGGCTCATTGAAGTCGCATTAGACAGCTCAGGGTCAGATGCTGTTTGCATGGCAGCGGTAAATGTCAGGTGGTGACTCTGAATGCTTCGGAGAGATTGCTGATCACAGAACAGGTTTAGGGCGGCTGCCCCTGGTGTTTCACAGCACAGACATCCTAGTGTTTACACAGCCTTGAAACGTATGAATTCAACGTTTATACTGGCATACTTTCAGCTCCCCTAGTTCCACACACACACAACTAGTTCGCTATCTCTCCATAGATGTAACAGTGTTCATACTGCAGAAACTGTGTATTCCCTCTCCTTACACTAACCCAAACCATAAACCTAGCCATAAAACAAAACTTTCTGCATTTTTACATTTTCAAAAAAACTCGTTGTGTATGATTTATAAGCTGTTTTCCTCATGAGGACCTCAATTGACCTTGAGTCAGTTTATTGATTCTTGTCTATCCATTTCATTGCACATTGCGCACACACTTTTCTGACTAGCGTTATTAATTATCTTGGCTGGTCAACTTACCTAACCAATAATCTCTTAATAGTAAACTTTCTTTTTCTTTTTTTTGTCCCTAGGACTTAAAAGACCTGACGCAGCGAAACGAGTGCCTAGATCTCAAAGGTGAGTTGAAAATGGGCTTTAACACAATGTTCAGTGTTCGGACGTTCATCGAAAGTTCAATGAATTTTGAAATACTCATAGAAATGTAGATAATCGTGATCAATCATGTCTTTAGTGAATGTGAGTTTTTCTCCTATTTAATTTCATTGGCTAAAAGATGTTCAGTATCTCTATATACTGTATACACTTCCATTCAAAAGAATTATATAAAAGAGAAAAGACTGATATTTCAATTAAATGTTCTTTTGAACTTTGCATAAAAAATTGACAAAACTGTTTTCAACATTGATAATAATCAGAAATGTTTTTTCAACATCGAATAATCATATTAGAGTGATTTCTGAAGGATCATGTGACACTGAAGAATGATGCTATAACTTAAAATTACAATATATTCAAATAGAAAACAGCTATTTTATACAGTAATCATATTTCACAATATTACAGTTTTTGATGTATTGTTAATCAAAGAGCAGAAGAGACTTCTTTAGAAAATCATTTAAAAAAATCTCCCTGATGCAAACTTTTGCAACTAGTAAAGCTCATGGGAATGATTTGATCAAAAGATGTGGGAAGTATGTCGCACGTTTTCATACATTGGCATACACACACCCTCCGTTGAGTTCAGCATGTTAGGACTGGTTTATATGCTTGTAAGTTTGTGTAGTTAATGGGTGTGTGTCCATCCATAGAAAAGCTGATCTCATCCTCAAATGATTCACGTTTACTGTAAATGATGTATACCATAAAGTAACCATGAGATTAGCTGTGTGTTTGACGTTGATCTGTGTTATATATATATATATTCCAAAAAAAGTAAAGAACCATATCAGTGCGAAAGTTGAAAGTAATATCTCTGTTTTATCATTTGTAGGAGAGAAGCTGGACTATAAATCATGTGAATCTCTGGAGGAAATCTTTAAGCGGGTGCAGTTTAAAGTAGTAGATCTGGAGCAGACCAACTTGGACGAAGACGTGAGTGCTGCTCTTTTTTACCCCGTTGAGTTTATCATCTCATTTCCGCCCTATGCTGATTATCTCTCTGACCGCAGAGTCATTCATTCTGTTCTCTTTCCATCTTTAAAACTGCCTGAGCTTCGGTAATGGCGTGTGCAGTGCTCTGGTTTCATTTATCAGTGCTGTTACACTATCAAAATGTCCTATGTCCATCTAATTAGTGGCTAAGCAGCCTCGGTTGTGTTGTGTTTCCGTGTTGGCTACGTTTGTCTGGTCTGATACAGATTGTTTATCCAACATAAACACAGATATTAGCAGTTCTGGAGGCATAAATTCAGTCTGTTTCTGAAAGGTTGCTTCTGGACTCAAGTTCATTTTGCCATAAGTCATAAGCTGGGTGGATCTCTCAGCGTCTTCCATATATACAAACACACACTCACTCCTTAACACCACTACTGAAGGAAGATGTGTCATGGAAAACTGGATTTATTTATTTATTTATGACAGGCTTGTTGTATTTATTTATTTGTTTGTTTATTTGCTATTGTGAAATAAAAGATATATACACACTCACTTAAAGGATTATTAGGAACACCTGTTTCTTATTAATGCCATTATCTAATCAACCAATCACATGGCAGTTGCTTCAATGCATTTAGGGGTCAAGACAATCTCCTGAACTCCAAACTGAATGTCAGAATGGGAAAGAAAGGGGATTTAAGCAATGGTTGTTGGTGTCTGAGTATTTCACAATCTGCTCAGTTACTGGGATTTTCACACACAACCATTTCTAGGGTTTACAAAGAATGGAGTGAAAAGGGAAAAACATCCAGTATGCGATGGCAGTCCTGTGGGCCAAAATGCCTTGTTGATGCGAGAGGTCAGAGGAGAATGGGCCGACTGATTCAAGCTGATAGAAGAGCAACTTTGACTGAAATAACCACTCGTTACAACCGAGGTATGCAGCAAAGACACAACACACTCAACCTTGAGGCGGATGGGTTCCAACAGCAGAAGACCCCACCGGGTACCACTCATCTCCACTACAAATAGGAGAAAGAGGCGACAATTTGCAAGAGCTCACCAAAACTGGACAGTTGAAGACTGGAAAAATGTCGCCTGGTCTGATGAGTCTCGATTTCTGTTGGTAGAGTCAGAATTTGGCGTAAACAGAATGAGAACATGGATCCATCATGCCTTGTTACCACTGTGCAGGCTGGTGGTGGTGGTGTAATGGTGTGTGGTTCTTTCTTCTGACCCATCATAGGCATTAGATGTGTGCTCTCTCTCTCTCTCTCTCTCTCTCTCTCTCTCTCTATGACCCTGTTTACAACTGGTATTAAGATGCGTTTTGGTATAAAAGAGGTCTAAAACATGTTGAACTTGTGCACTTTCAACCACTTTCAGAGGTAGTCAAACACATGTGACCCGAATGCTTCTTAGTATAAACGCTCAAGTGACCGAATGTGTTCAAACAGCCAGAAAAGACAGTCTACTCTCCGTCTACTGACCTAATGCGTTTATATTATCCCTCTCTACTTGTGATCCGATCCAAAAGGTGTAAACAGGGCCTATCGTTCTCTCTTTGCTCTGCGTCGTGTCCATCGAGGGAATATTTCAGGCGTTTGTCTCGACTTGTCTGAGGTCACCGTGTGAAAAGTGAATGACTCGTGCTGTTTATAGGATCGAGTGTTAATCTCTAGTGTAAGGATGTTGGATACAAAACCATATTTTCTTTCGAGACGCACACAGACATTTTCACATGTGGAAACATGCACGCTAATTCTCAGCACTTACAGCGTCATGTGGGCTTTTATCCAGGAGGAAATTAAAATCTATAGAACTGCTATATAAAATAACTTTATGGCTGCCATATAGTAAAATCACATTTGGACCTGTTAGCTTGAAAAAATGTATTGTTTATATACAATACCGCTCAAAAATAAAAGACATGTTTTGAAAAAAAAAAAAGGCTGCATATATCTGATCAATAATACAATAAAATACAGTAATAATATTAAATGTAGTTACTTCTGTAGTGTCATTTATTCCTGTGATCAAAGCATCATTACGCCAGTCTTCTGTGTCACATGATTGTATATGATTTGATGATCAAGAAACATTTCTGATATGATCAAATCTGTGATACACCACATTTCAAATGTTTTGGGTAAGATTTACACTGAACACACTTTCAAAATATATGAAGCCGCAAAACAGTTTTCAATATTGATGATAATCATAAATGTTTCTGGAGCATCAATCATCATATTAGAGTGATTTCTGAAGGATCATGTGATGGTAATGATGCTGGAAATTCAGCTTTGAGCACAGAAATAAATCAATTTACAATATATTTAGCTATTTTAAATTGTAGAAAAATATTTCACAACATTACTGATCTGTTTTGATACAAATAAATACAGTTTTGCTGAGCAATATTACTGATTTTGCTGTGTTCTGTGAGCAGAAGAGACTTGTTTCCAAGACAAACGTTTGACCGTGTGTGTATGTACCATGGTGATGTGTGTTAATAATGTTTTTATTTATGCCTTTGCTTAGCTATAAGTGAGAGACAGTCCCTGATCGGGTGGTTTTCATGCTATCTCAGGTCGTCTGCATGCGTTTGTGTGTTTTGCAAACATCCCTTCTCCACAATAACCAAAACACACTGCTATTAATTCGCTCTTTATTCTGAAATAAATTAAGTTTTTTTTTCTGTCTCTCAGGGCGCATCAGCTTTGTTCGATATGATCGAGTACTATGAATCCGCCACTCATCTCAACATCTCCAGCAACAAGCACATCGGCACCCGCGGGTGGCAGGCCGCCGCACACATGATGAGGAAGGTGAGGCCGCGACTGACACACTCGTTAGGAATCTTCATTTATACAGCACTTTTAACAATATAGACTGTATCAAAGCAGCTTTACACCTTTTAACAGAGATTGTTTTGGCTTTACAGCTCTAGAATAAAGTTATTGTCCAGATTATGTTAGTTTTGATTGATGCACTTCCGTTGCAAAGATCATTAGGTCCGCTAACAGAAAACCCTTAAAAGATTATTTCTCTCTAAAATGAAAATTAGCCCCTGATTTACTCAGCCTCAAGCCATCCTAGCTGTATAATACTTTCTTCTTTTAAACGAATACAATCAGAGTTATATAAAAAGAATACCCTGGCTCTTCCTAGCTTTATAATGGCAATGGATTGCAACTAGGGGTGTAACCATATATCACAATGCAAAAATGCAATAATATGTATCGTGGATCGTTCACCCAAAATTAAAATTACAGTGTGAGGAAAAAAATCAAGTTTACAGAGTTTTAGTGTCAGTACCACATTAAATTAACTATATATAATGTTGAATATAATGTATAATAATGGGGGAGTAATTGTGGGTCCTGATGATGCCAGATGTCTGATGTTACCAGTAAAAAGCGAAAATAATTTGTACTTTTTTTAGCTGTATTTTCTAGCCTGTCATGCCAGACCTACGTCAAGATGCCAGACCTAGATCACACTTTTGCTGCAAAATAATTTTTGCTGCCGCTAGGGTACGTCTAGATTTCTAGGCTATGTATTTTCAGCTTCAGAATCATGAATATTGTTATTCTGGTTTCCAGCACCAAGTCCAAGCCTATTTATTTTCACCCACAGTGTAATTTCAAATTTAGCATTTTTAATTAAAAGTATGTTTTTTGTTTACCTTTTATCAAATGTCTTGTAGTATTGCAATAATATTGTATCTCGAGTTCAGAATCGTGATATCGAATCTGAATCGTGACGGTTCAGAAACGTGCATCCATCCATTGTAAACAAACTCCAAACTGCTCATGTGGGCTAATAAAGCAGCAAAACAATTCATATTTAACATATTTAACCAAACGGCCACACTCTACTCGGTCTACTCGCCCCTAAAGTGCAACTTGTGAAATGAATGACGTCAGAAGTAGCGTAGTGTGTCATGGCGCAGCCTAACCATTAGCAGTACGTTGCATTACTCGCACAAGTTGTGCCTTAAGTGGAATACCTATATTCGTTTGGCCGGAAGCTCATTATTTTACTTCTAAAGTTTTAAATGTGAATATTTTTCTCACACAAACTCATTCATTTTGCTGCTCTTTTTGCCTTTATTACCCCACAGGAGACGTTTTATGATGGATAGATGCATGTTTTTGAGCTTCAATCTGTTGGTTGCAATTCACTGCCATTATAAAGCTTGGAATATTTTTTAATATAACTCTTGAGTGTATTCGTCTAAAAGAAGAAAATCATAAACACTTAGGATGGCTTGAGGGTAGGGCTGCACGATTATGGCCAAAATGATAATTATGATTATTTTGATCAATATTTAGATCGCGATTAAATATCACGATTATTTGTTGAATTTTATTCAACAAATTTTATTTTTAATTGTAATTTTACAAATTGTATTGTCTCACATTGCTTTCACATCCATACATTGTGCTACATTCCTGCTAATGTACAAATATGTGCATAAAAATAATAAATAGGTCATCTTATTCAACAAAATTCAGTGCATCTCTTTAAAGAATAAAGGAAAAAAAGAAAACCATAAAGAAAATGTAGCGCAACTTCAACTGGGCAGTATTTTCCGTTTTCCATTGTGTAAATATATTTTAGGAAGCAAAATATAAACTTGAATGGATGTGAATAAAACTCAAAATATACAATCAATAAACAAAAACAAATATGAGAACATGTCAAGGCAGAAATATGCACTATGGAAGTTCGATTAATGGATAAAATTCAGAGTCATTGTTATTTGACGCTTAAGAAACGTAAAACCTGGTTGTGGGACAGTGTCGGTGATTAGTTACTGCTTATATTGAATCGTGTTTAATCCTCCATATTAAAGTTTATGTGCTCAAATTACTTCTATTTATTAAACAAAACGTGTGTAGTACTGATTATTAGAGTCCATTAATCGAACGTCCATGCTCTTATATAGTACCAATTGTCTAATGCTCGGACACACTCGGTGTGTCATGGGCTAATTTTCATTTTAAAGTGAACTAATCCTTTAACCCGCTCCGGCTGGTGTGCTCATCTCAAAGATGTGCTAATCTTTATCCATCTGTGTGTCTCATTCAGACGAGCTCTCTGCAGTACCTGGACGCCCGTAACACTCCTCTGTTGGACCATTCGGCCCCGTTCGTGGCCCGAGCGCTGCGGATCAGCGGCAGCCTGGCGGTCCTGCACCTGGAGAACGCCGGCATCTCAGGGCGACCGCTAATGCTGCTGGGTAATGCGTGCACAAACACAATGATCGGGGACACAGTGGACACAACTTCGGTTCATATGATTATCCATAATCCATATTGTTTGTTAAAATGTGAGTATCAAATATGATCATCAGGCTTTTGAGGAAGGTTTTTTTGTGTCACCGAAGAGTGAGGACGTTACAACGTATATAATAAATGGAAAAAAAACAAAAAAAAAAACATGAGTAATAAGGGAAACAAGAGGGTCGTCAAATTAACGAAATAATCAAAACATAACCCCCATATCTATTAGGGGTGTCACGATTCTCCAAATCCTCGATTCGATTGTAAGGTCACGGTTCGATTCGATTCTCGATCAATTTACCGGGACGTTCGTTTGTTGGTTTTCCGCCTGGGAACGCTGGGGGGAGCGGGCAAAGTCTCCATTTTCACCAGAAAAGGTTATTGCAAACTGGAAAAAACCTGGAAAAAGTTTTCATCCAGTAATCCTGCATCATGAACACCCTCCGAGACATCTCCAACTACAAGACATCGTTGCCTCAATCTGCTGGGAATCAACCTGGCTGATTCTGTTGTCGTTTTGACACGGGCTGTTTTAGCCAGCGTTTCAGAAACACTGAACATCGAGAACGTCTTTAAAGGAGTAGTTCACTTTTCAAAAAGCTTTTGCTGATAATTTACTCACCCCCATGTCATCCAAGATTTCCATGTCTTTCTTTCTTCAGTCGAAAAGAAATTAAGTTTTTTGGGATTTTTCTCCATATAATGGACTTCAATGGGAACCAAACGGTTCAAGGTCCAAAAGACAGTTTCAGTGCAAACTGTTCAAAGGGCTTTAATCGATTCCAGACGATGAATAAGGGTCTTATCAAGCGAAACGATCGATCATTTAATAAATAAATAACAAAGTTTAAGTTTTATAAGCACAAATGCTCGCCTTGCTCTGTTCTGTGACGCACGTTCGTGACTCATTCGTGACTCAATCGAAAATGAACAAATCTTTTTCCGAGTCAATTTGTTCGTTTCGTTTGTTGAAATTAACCAATTGACTCGGAAAAAGATTTGTTTATTTTGATGAACGAGTTCTTAAACTTTGTTATTTTTTTATTTTTTTGTTTAAATGAGCGATTGTTTCGCTTGATAAGACCCTTATTCATCGTCTGGAATCGTTTAAAGCCCTTTGAGCAGTTTGCACTGAAACTGTCTTTTGGACCTTGAACTGTTTGGTTCCCATTGAAGTCCATTATAAGGAGAAAAGTACTGGAATGTTTTCATCAAAAACCTTAATTTCTTTTCGACTGAAGAAAGAAAGAAATGGATATCTTGGATGACATGGGGGTGAGTAAATTATCAGCAAAAGTTTTTTTAAAAAGTGAACAACTCCTTTAATCTTCTTCCCATAGGCTGTTCTAATACTCTTCTAATCTTCTTAATTTACTTTTATTTATCATCCATAATACTGTTGACTTTAAATATGCCTATTCTAGGTCTTTATATTTTTCATATTTATATTTTTTTAATTGTATTATTGCGTGCATTGCAATCACACTCTGCAATAAAGTTAACCATTTTCCACAAATGAATGAAGCAACTAAAAGGCGACTTGTTTGATATGTGTGTGTTTGCAGCCACGGCACTGAAGATGAACATGAACCTCAGAGAGCTGTATTTGGCTGACAATAAGTTGAACGGTCTGCAGGATTCAGCTCAGTTGGGGAACCTGCTGAAGTTCAACTACAACATCCAGATCCTGGATCTGAGAAACAATCACATCCTAGACTCAGGTCTGACCTCGTCTTCTCTCTGGATCTCCTCTTGGTCTCCTCCTCCAGAAATCTCTGTACTTGTCATTCACACTTTAGCTCTTTGTGTTCCCTCCGTATATATTGTTTTTTTCTCGTTTCCTTAGGCTTGGCGTATATATGTGAGGGTCTCAAGGAGCAGAGGAAGGGTTTGGTCACACTGGTGCTCTGGAACAACCAGCTCACACACAATGGCATGGGCTACCTGACCGCCGCGTTGGTAAACATCCACACAATTACGCCACAAAAGTTTCCATGTACAATTTCACAGACTTCTACATCTCCAGGGCTTATTCACACCGAGAGTAAAGCCAAACGCAAAATTCACTCTGAGCTCAACACTGATTTTCGTCGCCTTCTGATAAAAGTTTGTAAACCTGAAATAAATAGAGGTTACACTTTTGTGTGCTTTTTAGTTTAATTATGCAATCAACTACTGCGTAATCTTGATTAACAACCATGCACTTACTGTAGGGGTTTGGTTTAGGGTTAGTTTTGTGTAATTATGCATAATTTATCATTTTTACTGAAGTCAGTACATGTAGCAAAGACTAAAATAAAGTGTTGGCAAAATATAATTGTGCACTGTAAAAAAATATTGTTGGTTTAACTTAAAAAAGTAAGTAACCTGGTTGCCTTAATTTTAAGTTGATTGAACTGGAAAAGGTGAGTTAATAGAATGAAGGAGAATGGTTTAATCATCAGAAACTCAAAATAATAAGTTATCTGAACTAAATAAATTATTTAAGTTGATTTGACAAAATAAAAAAAAATGTTGTGATAACAAATCTTGAAAATATTTTTTTTTCTTCAGTGTAGTAATATAAATGCTTAAAAAAATCATTTAAAAAAAATAAATAAATAAAAAGCTGATTATTTAGTAATAGGAAAATACTAGTAATATTGTATTAATGATTAATCAATGAATGGATCTTTTGAAAATCTCCAGTTGGTAATCTAATGATTATTTTGAATAATCGACTAATCTTATCGTTATTAGATTAATCAGGGTGGTTTATTTTTTGATTGACTATTCAACAACAAAAACCCTGACCATTTTTTATGATAATATCAACTTATGGTTTCAGGTCTAGTTTGTAATATTAATGTTTTACAATGTAATCACAATTGTTTTGGATGGAAAAACTACAAAAATCAACCCACAGGACAGTTCTCAGGTTTCTTTTGTTCCTTATTAAACTTCATTTTTACTTTTTGCATTCTTTGAAATCTTCTCAAAATTCACACTTCAGTCGGTCTTCAAACTGACAAATATGTACTTTTTTCTTTTTTTTTGTCATTTGAGAAAGTAAAAAGGACAGAAATTGTTTTAAATAATAATTGTAATCATTATAAATGTCTGTCACATTAGATCCATGTAATGTGTCCTTTCTGAATAAAAGTATTAATTTCTTTTAAAACAAAAAAATACATTATACATTTTAAAATATAATCAAAATATTTTAAATATTACTGTTTTTACTCTTTAGATCAAATAAATTCAGCCTTGGTGAGCAAATAAGACCCCTTTCAAAAACATTAAAAAAATCCAGTCGTGGATATACAACAGCACAATAGCCCCTTATGGCTTCTTCTGAAATGACTGAGAATCCAGCATGTGCCCCGCAGACCACCGACGGTGAGATGAGGCTCGTCCTCGTTCAGTCAGATGGTCATTATGGAGATTGAGGGGATGCTGTGTCTGTTTGTTTGGCGGCTGCTGACCGTGCAGCACTCATGTTTACGTGTGGCCTGGCATCTTTTTGTTAATTAAGGACTAAAGACACACACATTCTCACAGCCTTGTGTGTAATGCACTGCAGTATGTGCATGCCTTCTGAACAGGCTGTGTGGTTTATAAACCGTGCCTGGGCGTACATCCACACTCTTTACTGCAAGAATACAGAATTTCCTGTTAGATTCCCATGGAAGGTGTTTGCAACTTTTTCTCACAATTCTGAATTTTTTCTAGCTGATGCAAGTTTATATCTCGCAATTTTAAGTTCATATCTCGCAATTTTAAGTTTATATCTCGCAATTTTAAGTTTAAATCTCGCAATTTTAAGTTCATATCTCGCAATTTTAAGTTCATATCTAGCAATTTTATATTTATATCTCGCAATTTTAAGTTTATATCTCGCAATTTTAAGTTAATTTCTCGCAATTTTAAGTTTATATCTTGCAATTTTAAGTTCATATCTTGCAATTTTAAGTTCATATCTTGCAATTTTAAGTTCATATCTCGCAATTTTAAGTTTATATCTCGCAATTTTAAGTTTATATATCGGAATTTTAAGTTTGTCTCGCAATTTTAAGTTCATATCTCGCAATTTTAAGTTTATATCTCGCAATTTTAAGTTTATATATCGGAATTTTAAGTTTATCTCGCAATTTTAAGTTTAAATCTCGCAATTTTAAGTTTATATCTCGCAATTTTAAGTTAATTTCTCGCAATTTTAAGTTCATATCTTGCAATTTTAAGTTCATATCTTGCAATTTTAAGTTCATATCTCGCAATTTTAAGTTTATATATCGGAATTTTAAGTTTATCTCGCAATTTTAAGTTTATATCTCGCAATTTTAAGTTTATATCTCGCAATTTTATCTCGCAATTTTAAGTTTATATCTTGCAATTTTAAGTTCATATCTCGCAATTTTAAGTTTATCTCGCGATTTAGATCTTTTTCTCATAATTTAGTTTACATCTCAATTTTTTACCTTTTCTCAGAATTTTTAACCTTTTCTCTGAATTTATGTCTCACAAATTTTAACTTTTTCTATGAATTCTAAGTTTAAATCTCATGATTTAAACTTTTTTCTCATAATTCTCAGTTTACATCTTGCAATTTTTAACTTTTTTCTCATAATTCTGTTTACATCTCGCAATTTTGACTTTTTTTTTCTCTGAATTCGGAGTTTATATCCACCACATAACCGTTTACCATTAGTTCAATTGAACAACGGACTCTACAATTATGATCTGAAAGCGTCTGCTTTCCAAACAGCACGAGCAACTAGACGCATGAAAAGAGTAAGGAGAGATGACTGACAAGACGATGGTGAAGGATTTAGTGTGCAACAGATCCTGAGCATTATTGACGTATCTTATCTTGTCAAATGTGCTGTCAAAGACCCTATACACAGAATATGCATGATTGCGAATTCGAAAGAGAATCGAGTGTGCATTTAAAATCGATTTCAATACCCCAGATTGTGATCCCACCCCGGTGTTGTCGTAAGTTTATTTATCGGTGTAAAGATTTTCCTCACCGGTACATACCTAGTTCACACTAAATATTGAATCCACTTTCAGTTCCTTCAGTTATTTTTCTTTTTCTATTTGCACTCTTTTACTTTTACTGATCCATCTCTTTCGCTCTCTGCTGCTGTAGCCGTACACTCAAAGCTTGGAAACACTGAACCTGGGCCATAATGCAGTAGGGAACGAAGGAGTGCACAAACTGAAAGACGGACTCGTAGCAAACCGGTCCATCCTCAGGCTGGGTCTGGCCTCCACCAAACTCTCCTGCGAAGGTAAGATCTGGAGTGCAAACGTGAAGTTACATGAGACCACAAGATGGATGACTCTGAATTCTGGAGTAGGGCTGCACCGATTAGCATCGATATCGAGATGTGCGCATCCGTATGAGTCACATCCATGATCCATGTTTATATCTCGCAATTTTAAGTTTATATCTCGCAATTTTAAGTTCAGATCTCGCAATTTTAAGTTTATATCTCGCAATTTTCCAGATGCTCCCCGGTATTTTCAAATAGAGCTATTCAAATTGGTTTTGAATCGCAATCTATATTGCAGAAAAAGTAAAAATCGCACTTTTTTTCCAATATCGTGCAGCCCTATTCTAGAGGCCAGCTTGTGTTAAGTATGAGTGTGAAGCATGAAGATGACCGTGTGCTTGTTCATATGCTAGGAGCTGTCGCTATAGCGGAGTTCATCGCGGAGAGTCCGAGGCTCCTCCGGTTAGACATGCGGGAGAACGAAATCAAGACCGGCGGCCTCATGGCTCTCTCCCTCGCCTTTAAAGTCAACACATCTCTGCTCCGACTCGACCTGGACCGAGAGCCCAAGAAAGAGACGGTGAGTGTTTGTTAAAGAGGAGGGGAAAAGATTTAGCTTGATTTGAAGTAGGACTGAGTATATTTACAATGATTTTTGCTGCTTTGGAAATCCTTTGGCTACTAAACCGTCTTTGTCGTTATGGAGAGCGCAGTGCATGGTTGCTTAGCAACGACAGACGCAACAGGAAAATCGGCCCCTATTTTACCATTAATAATAAAAGATAAGGGGATGTGAATGTCAGTAATTTATCATTTTTTGACTCAATCTTTTTATAAAAGATTATTTAAAGGCTGAAATACGTGAGGTTTATCTGTTTATAAAACTAATTTTGTGAAGACTTTATTTTATCTAGACTTAAGCTGTTGCAAGACACTCCTTTAAAATCTGGCCTTCATTTTTAATGGTATTTTAATGTTTATGTAAACAAAAAGTGCATAGTCATGCTAATTTTATTTGCTGGGTTTAGACGTACATTTGGCAAATTGATTTCATAGTAATCATGAAATTTAATGTTCATGCCATTTCATCTCTGGGTATGATCAACTGAAATCAACTATAATTGTGTTTTTACAGTATAAAATGCAAAGTACAAATTTCACCTACACACACACACACACACACACACACGCATATTATATAAAATCATTTTTTTCAGAATATTTTCTTATTTAAATTTTTTGCAATGCGTTGTTGTGTAGGTCTTAAATTTAAGTGTTTATGGTCTTAAATTCTCTTAAAAGGGTCTTAAATTTGACTTGACCTGCAGAAACCCTGTAATATGCTAAGATGTCGAAACAGTAGTTTCAATGTGGAAATGTGTGGAAATTTTTTTTTACATTTCCAGTTTTATTAGACTAGTTTCATGATCCTTCTTTAATTCAGATTTATTGTTAAGAGGAAAACCCCTTGAGATTTGACATCTCGTTTTCGAGGGGACCTCAAGAAAAACATGCATACATGCATACTAAAAGAACAAAGATTAACGTTATCTCACAACGTCCAATGTGCATGAGAGCGTTAAGACAGATTAGATATTATATATATGGTGAGTTTTATTTATTTCCATGAGTTCAGGCTGATTTAAAACTCTAAAAGAAAATCCGAAATATTAAAGTCTTCATGTTGGATTCGTTTTTAAGATCAAGGTAAATATGGCTGTTTATTACAATGTAATGTTATTTTATTTTTCCACTAACTACAGTTAATTATTTACCTCAGTGTTCAGCAGCTGCAACTATGACATTGATCTCTTTTTATTGCATAACTTTCTCTCTGTCCGTACAGGTGAAGAGTTTCATTGAGACACAGCGCGCCCTGCTGGCAGACATTCAGAATGGCTGCAAGAGGAACTTCATCTTGGCCAAAGAGAAGGAAGAAACAGAACAGAAGATGAGACAGTCCGCTTCAATGCCAGAAATCACCACAGAGGAACAAGCTCAGGAGGATGAGGAAGATGCATCGGCTGAGAAAAGCGAGGAAGAAAATGTGGCTGTGCAGAAAAACTCAACCGAGGAGGGAAATGAAGAGGACGTATCCGAGAACCAAGAAGTCAAAGATCAAGAAACGACACCGCAAGACGACTCCGACTCGGACACTGAGGATGAGGAGATAGTAGAGGCATCGGATGCTTCAACACAGAGCACATCTCCAATACCGGTTCCTGCAATAAACACATGTAAGGTCGTGCCCTTGGCGCCGCCTCTACCAGGATCTCCAGCCCTCATTTCGGGAATTAAAGTAACAGAAGCCAATGTTTCCTCCGGAGCCCCATCATCTCCTGGACGCCTTTTCTCTGTGTCTAGTCCTGGCAGAGGACACAAAATCTTTATGGTAACGCGTGTTGAAAGCCCTCCTGAGCAGCAACAGGTGACCGCATTGCCAAAATGTGTCCTCGAGAGGGCGGTAGAGAGCCAAATATCATCTGAAACACCCACACAAATCCATATAAAAGCACCTTTAGATGCACCTTCACAAGCGCCTGAGCAGAAACCGACTCAACTAGCAGAGCCTGAGCTCAGTACGTTAACATCACACGCGCCCGCCGACGTACTCGACACGCCAACGTCTGAGCTTACAACTCATTCTGATGAAGTTCAGCAGGAACTTGCTACGCCATTTGAAAGCCAAGTTAGACTCGATCAGACTCACTTAGACTCGCAGGAGTTACCAGTGACAAAAACATCACAAGAGACCAGTGAGGAGGACCAGACGTGCTGCTCTCACACTGAACAGATCCAGGAATCAAGTCCCACCCAAAGAGAGCCATCTGGAGACGGGACGCCAAACCCTGAAGAACTGCAATCCAGTGAGCAGCGGGAGGTCACGGAGGTCTCCAGTGCACAAGAGGGATCTCCTGAAGAAGAAGGGTGTCCGGTTATGAGCACGGGAATAGTGTTGCCCAACGGGCTGAAGCCAGAGTTTGCCTTTCACCTGCTCGAAACAGAGGGACTCAAACCAGCCAGCTGCATTATGGAGCATGGTGAGTTACCGTTGGATTACCTTATAAAAGACAGAGCGACACGCGCGTCGGAAACTGAAAACCACACCCATTAACTTTACATTGCGAGAAGCTGCCTCCGTGTTATTTCTGCCTTAGAACAAAAAAAACAAAACGACGTCTAAAAGCTGCTGTGGTGTGTAACGCAAACAAGCACAAAAAAAAAAAAATGTTTTTGTAAGCTGTCGACCCCAAGAAACGTGTTTTAAAAAGCCCATGATTTACTCACCCTGAAGCCATCCTGTGTGTATGACTTTCTTCTTTCAGACGCATACAATCAGTTATATTAAAAAAATGTCCTGGCTCTTCCAAGCTTTATAGTGGGAGTCAATAGATATATTATTATTCCATATAAAGTCCATCTATTCGTGATAAAAGTGCTCGAAACGGCTCTCCTGGGGTTAATTAAAGGAGTAGTTCACTTTTGAAAAAACTTTTGCTGATAATTTACTCACCCCCATGTCATCCAAGATGTCCACGTCTTTCTTTCTTCAGTCGAAGAGAAATTAAGGTTTTTGATGAAAACATTCCAGGATTTTTCTCTGTATGGACTTCAATGGGAACCAAACGGTTCCAGGTCCAAATGAGAGTTTTAGTGCAAACTGTTCAAAGGGCTTTAAACGATTCCAGACGATAAATAAGGGTCTTATCAAGCGCAACGATCGCTCATTTAATAAATAAATAACAAAGTTTAAGTTTTAGAAGCTCAAATGCTCGCCTTGCTCTGTTCTGTGATGAGCGTTCGAATTCGTTCATCAAAATGAACTAATCTTTTTCTGAGTCATTTGGTTCATTCAACGAACAAAATAAACGAATTGATTCGGGAAAAGGTTCGTTCATTTTGATGAACGAGTTCGAACAGGAGAGTCACGAACGCGCGTCACAGAACAGAGCAAGGCGACCATTTGAGCTTATAAAACTTAAACTTTGTTATTTATTTATTAAATGAGCGATCGCTTCGCTTGATAAGACCCTTATTCATCATCTGGAATCGTTTAAAGCCGTTTGAATAGTTTGCAGTTTGTACTGAAACTGTCTTTTGGACCTTGAACCGTTTGGTTCCCATTGAAGTCCATTATATGGAGAACAATCCCAAAAACCTTAATTTCTTTTCGACTGAAGAAAGAAAGACATGGACATCTTGGATGACATGGGGGTGAGTAAATTATCAGCAAAAGTTTTTTTTTTAAACCGTATTTCTGAAAATCATAGCGATCAGCTGACTTCAGATAACCACAACTCTTGTTACAGACAAACGATAAAAGAAATAAAAAACAGATTTGGAAAGGGCTTGAGTCCAGCTTTAATATCTGTAATATGTCAAATTTCACCATGTGGTGGGTTTTCCCAGATCGCATCACATATGTTTACGTTGCTAAGAGGGGTTGCTAGGGGTGCGGTGGAGTGATGCATAGAACCGTTGAGTGTTTTATCATGAAATAAACACAGCTATTGACCAATCAGAATCAAGTAGAGCCAGACCGATATTATCGGCCGATATTAGGCATTTTCCAAACTATCGGTATCGGCAGTTATAATGGCCGATAAATGAATATTTCAAAAATAAAATAAAAACGGACGAAACACGCTTGAACCATGTCATGAGTGTTGGAGTTGTATAGTTTGTCCACCAGAGGGCACTGTTGGCAACACTTGTTAGGTTGGTCGCGATACATACATTGCTGGAATAACAATTAAAAGATCATCCCCATCAGTTCTCTCAAGTCAAATAAGCATGACAAAATTAGTGACGATCATGTTCAGCTTCAAATAAATAAATAAAATATCGTTTTTTAAAACCCCAAAATATTTGTATCAGTATCAAAATCCTTTATCGGTCGGGCTCTAGAATCAAGGACTGGAACTAACTGTTTAATAATGTGTGTGTGTGTTAGTGAGCGTGACTGCAGAGCTGAGCTGCGGGCAGGATTTAGAGGAGCTTCTCCTTGATGCCAGTCTGGACACCAGCAGAGATGCCCCATAATGCTGTAACCTAGGTAACGCAAGGAAATTCCCATGTTTATGAAGGATTGCTGGGATAATACCTTACGAATGTGCTTTTAAGAGGAAGTCTGGGTAAGTTAACCCGTATTTGTCTGTTCTCAGGGTCCACACGCGTGTAGTGAGAATCAGAAGAGGCGGTTTGTTCTTGCCACACGGCATTTGCTCATATTCCTCTGGACTCTTTCCGTCTTTCTCGTGTCTTTTCCATAAACTTTCAAAACAACACAGGGAACTCGCCTTCCCTCAAATGACCGACCTTTCGTGACAATTGGCATTGTATTCAAATGACGAAAAGCTCATCCGTGATTGGTGAGCGTCCGTAAAGATGTTCAGTTACCAAAGACACACACGCAGAGAAACCGGCGACCTTCTTCTGTTCAACCACGTCACTGCTCACCGTCGCCCCCTCGTGGACTGGAGGTCGTAATGACTGACCGGCTGAACACTCTGAGCAAAGACATTTCATTGGTTTGAAGCACTCGAGTTTTGTCATTATTATTGTCTCCTTAACACACTAAAAAAAGACTCGTACCAAAGCGACACACACATCCGCTTGTTCCTGCTCAGGAATCGGTCACGTCATCCACTTCTGATCTCACCATCAACCAGCACATCTGAATATGATGAACCGTCGGCTCCTGCCTCGGCCGGATGATTGTTGAGCGTTAGCGAGAGATCCAGAAGATTCGGGAGGCGAATGAATTGTAAAAAATGTTCGTCTTTCGCTCTCTCTCACACACACAAATCCACACAAACTCATTCTGTCTTCCACTGGTGTGTCACGTACTCATCCGAAGACAGGACTTGCCTTTAACCCTTTTCTCAGCTCTTTGTTCTGGCTGCTTGGCTCAATCAGTTTGTATTTATTTTAAACAACCCGAGTCTGTTGTGTAATTTCTTCTCTCTCTTTTTTTTAATCTGTTATTGTGGGATTTTCCCCCCTTTTGGTGTATATTTTCAGATTCTATAAAGAGCAAATATTAAGTTTAAAGTTTTTCCTATTTTGATTGGTTGGGGTTTGGGAAAGGGGCGGGGCTCTGTTGATTTATATAATGGGGGTGGAGCTCTGCGAGATTATATGATGTAAATCAAGAGTGTGTTTGGGTATGAAAGCCGCCATTTACAAAGAGGCAGCACAAGACTTCATGAAGAAAACACTACACTTGTGTGACGCTGGAGACACTAGAGACTAAACGTTACCTCAGAAGATTGAGGCTTGACCCGATAGATGTAGTACTTGCCACCATTCCAGGCTCTGCGGTCGGTGCTTTGGGTCCTCTCTGGTTCTCTGCGTGGCCGGTTGATGTTGACTCAGAGAAACTTGGCCTCTACATCCAGATTGTCTTTGACCTTGAGATCTACACTTCTGTGCGCCCAACCCAATGTTTGTAATGCTTTATTTTTAGTAATTTTTAAAATTACCTGTTAAATTAATCAAACTGTACTGGTAAACACAAAGAGATGTGTATGGCTTTTCCCTCTCAAATAAATGCATGTAATGACAAAAGTAGCGTGTAGCGAGTCTTTTCATTAACTGCGAGTGTCTTTTTAACCTGCAAATGACTTGATGAGTTTTTTAAAAATGTTCTTTTAGTCCAAATGGTATGAAACTTTCTACAGCTCTCAACACTTTCTAGATCTACAAAAATTTTAAAAATTGGAATGACATCTGTTGTTATGTTAGCGTGACAAAGATAGTGACATTAGTTGTCTTCGGGGTCCCTGGAGACCCCGCATAGTAAACATACAAAATTCATCATCAAATCAGAAACAATTGGATTGGTGACACTGACGCTTTGAAAATATGCATGCACATACACACACACACACACAGGAATACATTAGTGAGGCTATAAAACTTTAGAGGCTAACTCAATATGTAATATAACATATACATTTTTGTTCTTTTACAGTTCGTAACTGAAACATTGATTTAAAATTGTAGCATTAAATTAAAAACAGATAATATTTGAAATATTTAAATTTTAAATAAATGTTAATCTATAGACTCCAACATTTCTCTTTGTAACATCTTGTTCAGGTTTGATTCTAATATATAATATATATATATATATATTTTTTTTTTTATTTAATTGTGATTAAATATTATTTAGATATGATTCCAGCTGAATTCAACTGGTCAAAAGATATATTTTAATTAAAATTGCATATAATGGAGCTCTATGGCCATGTTTAAAGGGATTTTTTTTTTTTTTTTTTTAACTGCATTTTTCTAAATATGGGCAAAAATCGTACATTAAGCAATGTAAAATTATCCATGTTATCCCCGTTAATGAAAGTTAGAATTCTGGGTCTTTTACAAAGTGTATTTTACATAAACTGCTGTTTTTTTGTTTTTTTTTTTTTTTTTTTTTGTAAAAAATAAAAATAATAATAAAATAAAAAAATCCTATTTAAATAAATATGTATTTATATATTTATAGAAATTTAAAAGATATCATAAATCCTCCAAAAACTGCACAAATGTTGAGTGAAAACATTAATAAAAAAAGTAAAAATACATTTGTAAAAAAAAAAAAAAAAACTATTAATCTGTTACAAAATGCAACGTTATCGTCTGGGGTCCCTGGATACCCCAAAGATAACTAATGGATACACAAATAAAGATGTCCAGAGAGTTAAATAACTTAACTATTTATTTCTATTTATTTAAAAATATTTATTTTAAAAGTGACCTCATCCACCTCATTTTTACACCATTTTTGAGTTGAATCATGAATGCGCACGAATTGCCTTTTGTCGAAGAAAACAATCTCATTCAATCTCCAATACTGCCAGTGGTCCAACACACACACACAGCTTCTTCAAGGTTGGATTTGGCCAGCCTCTAGCGATAAACATGTCTTCCCAAAACATCCAGATAACATGTTCTTTCTCTCAAGGAGAGGACACTTAAATCTAACAGTGAAGTAAAGACTGTAACGAAGAAAGGTCACTCAAGCTAGAGATGTCGCTGACCCCTGTGACCCTAGAGAAGCAGATGTGTGTGTGACGCACCTTTAAACAAGTCCATAATTCATTCCTGCATCAGCTTCAGTCACCACTCACATAACACACACATTAGAGTACATTTCAGTATCACATCGGTAACTTCTATAAGTCTCACAAGCTTCGAGAAGTCGTGAAAATATTGCTTAATAACTTGATTATAATCACTCATTAGATGTGCATTGAAGCGAAAATTAATCGAATATCGTCCGTAATGAAACATAAGGTGGATATTAATGCGTGTCTTGCGTCTGAAAGTTGCATCAAATGATTGTTTTAGTCTCAAATGCGGTGATATATGCCGCTGCTGAAATGTGAACATGACTAAAATTAACTTTAAATATTATTTTGGGAGGGAAGTGAAAGCATTTTGGGGTTTCTGTTCTGCCAAGTCTGTGAAGTAAATATGAAAAAGACATTTCTAATGTTTGAATTTCATTTAATTTAGTTAAGAATGATCTAAGATAATCCTGTTAATGTTAAAGAACGTTGTTGTGAAGTGTTAAGGAGAGAGAAATAGCTTCTGTTGTTGGTTTGCACAGTTGAAACGCCCTGGTGGTTTCCATGAAAGCGAGTGTGTCGTCGGGTGGTCTGGTATGTCACACACCCTGAGATGTATGCAAACACTATCAAACAGCCCTGCCGCTGAGAGCAATATGTTTGAGATTATCAAGCTTCTGCTAAACCCTGAGCACAGGGACTGAAAACTGAAAACACTGTTAGATGGGAATCAGCCCTGATCATATAATCCTCACAAGTGTGTTAGAATTACAGTGAGATTCTGTGAGATGTTTTTGCTCAGTATTTCTCCGTCATCTCGGAGTCATTGGGCCATGCTGTGCTTCGGGATTTTCTGTGCATATCGGAGGGATTTTTGAGGTATTCGACTCTTGGGGGTCTATTGTTATAAATCTGCTTGCAAGGAATTTCCCTGTAATCCTCAGCGACTCTTACACAAGCCCAGGGAGACCCCAGAGCACTGGAGAACTCATGGAGGATTTTAAAGTACACTGTACGCTTATGGATGGATAGACAGACCGATTGATAGACAGACGAATGGATGGATATAGATGGAGGGATGAAAGGATGGGTAGATGGATAGATATACCAATGGGTAGATAGACAGACAGACAGATGGATATAGATGGAGGGAGGAAAGGATGGATGGATAGACCAATGGGTGGACCGATAGATAGACAGACAGACAGATAGATAGATAGATAGATAGATAGATAGACGTATGGATGGATACAGAGATAGATAGATAGATAGATAGATAGATAGATAGATAGATAGATAGATAGATAGATAGATAGATAGATAGAGGGATGAAAGGATGGATAGATAGATAGACAGACAGACAGAGAGATGGAGAGGCAGATAGATAGATAGATAGATAGATAGATAGATAGATAGATAGATAGATAGATAGATAGATAGAGGGATAGAGGGATGAAAGGATGGATAGATAGATAGACAGACAGACAGATAGATAGATAGATAGATAGATAGATAGATTGATAGATAGATAGATAGATAGATAGATAGATAGATAGATAGACAGGCAGATGGAGAGGCAGATAGATAGATAGATAGATAGATAGATAGATAGATAGATAGATAGATAGATAGATAGATAGATAGACAGGCAGATGGAGAGGCAGATAGATAGATAGATAGATAGATAGATAGATAGATAGATAGATAGATAGATAGATAGATAGATAGATGGATGGATGGATGGATGGATGGATGGATGGATGGATGGATGGATAGATAGATGGATAGATAGAATGTATTTTTGAAGTTATAAATAAAACAATTATTGGAGTGTTTCAAAATTAATTTAATATTACCCTACTTGCAGTTACTTAAATTATTTCTAAAATTAGCATTTCATGTTCCCATGTTCAGTGTTCATGGGAAACTGTACATTGTCCCCCTGTTAGTCATCATCATCTGATCAGAGTATTAGTTATTCTCCACAATTACTGATCAACCTGACTGAGTGTTATAGGCTAATGTTAAATCCGGAGTGTGTGGACTGAGTGTGTGTCAATGGGGAACATAAGAGTGTTTCCGCTCAGGTAAGAGCCTCGTCCGTCGCATTCATGCATGTTTTCACAGTGTCCGGCTGTTGGTTTAGTGCTTTAAAGAGCCTCTCGCTTGTCAAACTCAATGTGACGGGTTAGTGTTCGGCCTAGTGTGCTCTGTCAGAGCTGTGGAGATTCCCTCAGGCACACAGAGAGTTAAAAACAGCCTTTTTAGCCACAGCCTTTCCATGTGAACTGCCTTCGTTCGCGTTTTCCCTCTCTGCGTATCAGCTCTGAAAGCACGCCGTGAGAAAATGAGGTGAAATCCTGTGGAGAGAGAAGAACAGAAGTGCTTTACTCCTTCCTTCCAGTCCATCAGCTCTAAGCGGACAGACTGAGGATCCCTCACATGATAGTGCTTACACACACACACACACACATCTCTCTCTGGCGGATACACTCCCTCGACTGCTCTGGGAACTTGGGAACAGCATCTCATGCTGGTGTGAAGACTTTCCGTGGCACTCAGGACTCAAACAGGTACATGTTGATTTACAGAATTACGTTTGAGTGATGATGTTGTGTTTTGACAATATTTCGTTATTTTTAACTGTGGAAATAGTTCAATAGATCTATATTAACATCTTGAATTATGTACATTTATATAAATACATAAATAAATGCGCATTAAAATAGTTTTGAAACTTGATTCATTTTGATTACATTTTTTTTTTTTTTTAATTTGCCAAAAAGGAATTTAGCTGTATTTTAACCCACGCGATTTTTTTTTCTTACGTTTTACGCGTTAAAAATATTTAACGCAATTAACTCCGTATCCGTTTACCCGTCATCCTTTGGCTAGAGTTGCAATATATGATCAAGGTCTTATTCATGCAAATGCTTTTAAACCAGTTTGTGAATCTCCTGTCTTTGTGAAAGGTGAATCGTTGACTGGCGCGCTAAACAGCGCTGGCATGGACAAAAACATAAAATTATGCCAAAATGCTCGTTTTGTTGAGTATCATCGCTAGCACAAACTTGAATGAGTTAAATTAAATCTTAAATTAATGTAAAGAGAAATGTTGTGAAAAAACCCGGAAGATCTTAAAGTGACAGTAGCATAATAAACCTGCCGATGTCTGTCGTTAATAGGAACAAAACAGAATAACGTTTGTATCTGTAAAAATGATTAATCTATATTTATGCAGTCTAGACTTTAAAGTGTTTGATAACTTTATTCAATCTCTATATCCTACCTGTTAGGCCTTCCGGAAAACGGGTTAAAAATGAAAACTTTTTGTGTGTTTCGACAGGGCGAGTAAAACTCAACCAGAGAACTTTCAAATAGAAACAATTGCGATATATTGCAGGTTTAATGCGACAATTATTACAATGGGTCTATGTGAAGATTGTTTAAAGTTGTTGTATTATTTAAAGCCTAATGTTAAAATTGATAGATTTAAATGATACTATAATGTTCTATGGCTATAATTAATGTCTAATAATGAAGAATTTGGGCAAAAAAAAACATTTTTTTTTTTAATTTAGTTTCATACTAATAGACAGAAAATAGAATAACAAGGCATGTACATGTGCAAAAAAAATTATACAAAAATATTATTAAAATTAAAATTATACACACCCTCATTCCCTCACTCGCTCAACCCAAAAACTACTTACGCACACCCACCCACACACATACATACGCATAAAATAAACTACAAACAAAACTAACACAATTCTACATTTATCGAATATTGGTTTCAATTATGGCCTTCCTTTATAAAAAAAAAAATAAAAAATAGGCAATTAAACGTATTTAAAATATAGGCTGTCTGAATGTGTGTTTACATTTGTGTGTGTGTGTGTGTGTGTGTATATATATATATATATATATATATATTTTTTTTTTCACTACATGATTATTATGACCAAAATAATTCACGATGATGATATTTTGTGATATCTATAGAAAAAATAACGCTATTATCAAATTATTATTATTTTATAGTGTTATATTATATACAGCGATAAAGGCTGTTGATTGGCATTGCATTATAAATATACATTATTCTTATGAAAACAGCAGAGATAAACCATAATACAGTCACTACAGTGTGTTCATTCTCTTCATGTTTAATCCGTCAAAATCTGTTTTATTCGACTACAACAAATAAATTCTTTAAAACAATAAAAAAAATATTTAATTCTACAGTCTTTGTCCAAATTAGGGATTTCCTGGAACTTATTAGCCTACTCATGATCTCACTTTTAAGAAATTACATATGAGAGTTTTCAGTGAAAGTGAAGGCCAAGAATGGCCAGTTTACCCATACTCGTATAATGTGTCCTCTAACCCATTCAAATGAGTCACGCACATTAGCAGTGAGTAGTGAACACACACACACACACACACACACACACCTGGAGCAGTGAGTCCAGAGATCCGCAACCTTTGGGTTACCAGTCTCTCAAACCATTAGGCCTCAACTGCCCCTGCTTTTTATATTATTGTTTATTTTATTTAAAGTTTAGCGCTCCATATTTTGGGTAAAAATAGAACAAAATATGAAATATAATCCAAGTTTCTATTCGACAAACACTCCTTTGAACTAAAACAGTGTTAATAGTAAGAGTGTAACTAGCCTATAATAAAACACAGGACTCTGAAGTTAACATTTTCGAACATTTCCTATATATATATATATATATATACATATAGACATAGGCCTAGGCATACACACACACAGATATATATATATATATATATATATATCAGTCTGTCTGTGTGAGTCTGTGTATGTATGTATGCATAGGCGTATACAGTATGTATAAATGTACAGTAAGTGTGTGTATTCATGTTATAAAAATTGCATTTATTTGCCTTTACAGAAAGCAAAAACAATAAGGTTTGAACTATATTCAAAATAATTCAAAATAAAAATATTTTAATTTTAATATACTTTTTTGTGCATTATTTTAAATGCAATTCAAACCTCAGCGTTTTTTAAATGTGCATTAATTAGAATAATCTTCACTTTTCTTTGTATTAAGATGAACAAACATTAAAGCAAGAACAAGTGTGCGGCTATAGAAATGCATTTAATTGCCATCATTATATATATATATATATATATATATATATATATATATATATATATATATATATATATATATATATATGAAGAGTTCAGATGCAAAAGCCTCTAAATGCCATTTGAAATTTTCTTCTTTAATGATGATTTTTATCAAACTTGTATATTTAAGTTCAGTAATTTCACTTAAATAACAATTAATAGGTAATTACCATTGCCATTTAAGTGAAATTACTGAACTTAAATATACAAGTTTGATAAAAATCATCATTAAAGAAGAAAATTTCAAATGGCATTTAGAGGCTTTTGCATCATCCAAATTGCATCATCCACATCCAAATTGAACTCCTGATCTGTTAAGCAGTGTACAAGCCTTATTAGTGCTAGTTAATATAAGTGTTAACACACAGACATGAGTGAGGCATTACTGTCTCTCCATCTGAGCTATCACACACACACACACACACACACAGATTACAATGGCTCCTTCACTCGCTGCTTCAGTGTGTGTTATTATCGTGACGCTGAAGTTCAGTTTGGATTGTGTCCAGAAAGAGCATTCCACTGATTTTAACAGACTGAAGTCCTGATAGAGGTCACGGCAACGGAGACGCGTCTGTGAGATTAGTATTCATGACGCATCTCGGGTGTTTCTCACACACTCCTCTACACTTCTCACAGAAGACATCCGTCGACTTCAGCTCGAGAGCCTTGATCACGGAAGCTCATTTCTGCCATGGAACCAAAAATAATAATAATATTTAACAATTCGCTTATTAAAATAACAATTGTCATCTCACGATTCTGACTTTTTTCCCGCACAATTGCGAGTTACATTGTGCATTCGCTCTAAAATCTCATTTAAATTAAAGGCCACTTAAAGAGATCACTTTATACACTTTAAAAAAGTGCACTTTGGAATAATGTCAAACTAAAAGTTTAAATTATTGTTTTCGTGATCATTTGTCTTGCTTATTTTGATGTGTTGACTAAAATAAAAAAAAATAAAAAATATGACGTACAAGTTTCCATTGAAATGACAAAGTATATTTTAGTTTATCACAAATGCTTGTCATTCAGCTGTACACTTACATATTTTATATATTATATATTTATTATTACCATATTTCAAAGACAATATAATAATTAGGAAGTTTTTTAAGGAATATTGCAGTATTTGTTATGAATTAATTGTCCGTGCACATCATAATTATTGTTTTAAATTAACGTTTCTTGTAATCTTGAATCAGAATAACATTGACATCTCTTCTCTGATGATGAGGGCGGGGCAACCTGTCACTCACATGAGATCCACCAATAGCAAACCACAACCATCCAATCAGCCAATCAGCTCCCCACAGACAAAATCAAGCCCCGCCCACATTTGCTCTTGTTCCATGGAGAAGCCACCATCACTTATTTCATGATGACTTCAAGTCCTTCTTAAGTGGGTCAAAACAAGTGTTTTTAGGTTTAATTTAAACTATCCAATCCAACTTTATTTGTTGGGCACTTTTAAACAACCAAAGTGCTGTACAGAAGAAAAAAAAATCACATAAGCCAAGTTATAAAACAAGTAAATAAAATCCACAACTATAACACATTTTCATTAATTACTAAAGTATCTAAAAACATTACATCCAGTTTGCACTTAAAGAGATAGTTCACTTTGAAATGAATTTTTGATATGTTTTATCTTAACTCAAGGGCATCCAAGATGTAGGTGTCTTTGTTTCCACAGTATTTTCATTTTGATATCTTTAGGTCAAACCGTTCTGTCAGTCATATAATGAAAGTCTATGGTCACCACCTCAAAGAGCATGCACAGAGAAGTCCAGATTAAACATGATTTAACGACTCGTAAATGTAAGTACACATTGATGGCCTAAGACACGAAATGAGCGGTTTGTGTGAGAAAACGAACAGTATTTATATCGTTTTTACGTCTTGTAACCACAGCCAAGTCACAGGCGCTTGTGGCTAAGAGGTAAAAACGATATAAATACTGTTAGTTTTCTCACACAAACCGCTCATTTCGTGTCTTAGGCCATCAATGTGTACTTACATTTACGAGTCATTAAATCATGTTTAATCTGGACTTCTCTGTGCATGCTCTTTGAGGTGGTGACCATAGACCTCCATTATATGACTGAAATATCAAAATATCAAAATTGAAAATACTGTGGAAACAAAGACACACCAAACACACCAAAAATTAATTTCAAAGTAAACTATCCCTTTAAGTATTTTCTTAAAAAAAGAGTATTTCCTTAATAACTCATCTTAAACATATAGCTGATGTGTGTGTTGTTCAGGACAGGTCGATGGCGAGGATCTCCACTCATGTGTTCCTGCTGGTCTTGACCGCGGTCCTCGTGGTGTGTGAGATCGTGGTCGGCCGAATCTGCAGATCGCTCCTGATCGCGGTGGACAGCTTTCACACACTCTACGTCTTCTTACATCTGTCCCTGTCGGCATTGAAGCGTCATCCCAGCTTTACCTCTCTTCCGGATGATGAGCGTCTCTACAGAAGCAAGCGTCTCGAGCCCTTCGGCGTCCTCATCTCAGCGCTTCTGATGGCGTCTCAGTGTGTGTCCATCAGTCTGGAGATCCTCACACACCTCGTGCAGCCAGAAGCCGTTCAACACCCGCTCTTGTCTATAGTGGTCGGAGGAGCGAGTCTGATGTTCAATACACTCGTATTGGCCTGGAGGAGCAGTGGAGCTCATGACGGGGTCAATAAAGGTCTGATGCTTACATAGTTCACCCAAAAATGATGTCATTAATGACTCTCCCTCATGTCGGTCCAAGCCCGTCAGACCTCGTTCATCTTCACAACACAGTTTAAGATATTTTAGATTTAGCCCGAGAGCTTTCTGTCCCTCCATTGTAAATGTGTGTACTGTCCTTGTCCAAGGAAATAAAAACATCATCAAAGTAGTCATGTGACATCAGTGGGTTAGTTACAATGTTTTGAAGCATCGAAAATACATTTTGGTCCAAAAATAACCAAAACTACGACTTTGTCTTCCGGTTCTGTTTGTCTTATTTTTGGACCAAAATGTATTTTCGATGCTTCAAATCATTGTAACTAACCCACTTATGTCACATGACTACTTTGATTATGTCTTTAGCTAGATACACTGTAAAAAAAATATTGATGGATTAACTTAAAAAAGTAAGTTAGCTGGTTGCCTTACAATTGTAAGTTCAATGAACTGGAAAAAGTGAGTTAATACAATGAAAGAGATTAATTTAACCATCAGAAACCTTAAAATTATATGTTATCTGAACTAAATAAATTATTTAAGTTGATTTGACAAAAGAAAAAAATGTTGTGATTACTACACTGTAAAAAAATATTGTTGGTTTAACTTAAAAAAGTGAGTAACCTGGTTGCCTTAAAATTTTAAGTTGATTGAACTGGAAAAAGTGAGTTAATACAATGAAGGAGATTGATTTAACCATCAGAAACTCAAAATAATAAGTTATCTCAACTAAATAAATTATTATAAAGTTGATTTGACAAAAGAAAATATGTTGTGATAACAAATCTTGAAAATATTTTTTACAGTGAGAATATTATTAAGGAAGAAGGTCTGCACTGAGGAGATTACCCCTTACATGTGAAGCGCTTGGAAAGCACTATATAAATGTAATGAATATTATTATTATAAAACCAAAGCTGGATAGATGGCAAGTTTTTCATGCTAAATGTCTTCATGTTGGCCCTAAATTCACTTACCAAAACCCCTAAACCACAGAAACCCAATCTGAAAATTCATATATTGATAAAATATTTTCGTATGCATTTTTTTCTAGGGCTGTCAAACGATTAATCACGATTAATCGCATCCAAAATAGAAGTTTGTGTTTATATATAAATATAACATTTTATATATAAATAATATTTTTTTCTAAGTTAAATATACATATATGTGTGTGTGTATATATATATACAAAATAATTATACACAGTGCACCCACGTATATGTATATTTAAGAAAAAAATATTATTTATATATAAAATTTTATATTTATATATAATTTAAATTATATATTATAAATCTCTATATAGTATATACATGAAAATATTTCTAAAATATATACAAGAATGTGTGTGTATTTATATATATAAAATAATTATACACAGTGCACCCACATATATGATATAAACACAAACTTTTATTTTGGATGCGATTAATCGTTTGACAGCCCTATTTTTTTCGTATTCGTCTTTCAGTGGCTCTGAATTGCCAAAATGTTGCTGCGGATGGGAAAAATGCAGAAAATCGAACCCAGTCCGATTTTTTTTTTTTTTATGACACGCAAAAATTTGCAGTGTGTAAACATTTTTTTTTTTTTTTTTTTTGACATGCAAAAAATTTTACTCAATGTGCAAGGACCTTTAGTGGTAGAAATGATCAGTTGTGCAGTGATGAGAATATGTGTCAAAATTGATCATTTAATTTCGCATTTGATGCAGTGAAAACAGAACATGCAGTCAGTTCCACTTCCTATGAGCTGGTGTTTTGTGCCTCTGTGCTGTATTATGATCCATCAGGTTGAAGGTGATGATGAAGAATGCATGATGATGGTTGTGTTGTAGATCATCTCCAGGATGACGCACTGATGTTCTGCAACCCTGAAGCCTCTAGTGTTCTGGATCCAGATCAAGGCTCTTCTGAGTCTCCAAACCTCAGCGACACTAAACCAGTTCCTGAGTCCAGGATCAGTGAAACATCCATCCAGAAACTTCCAGAAGAGCCTCGTCACCCGACCGGCACCGAACCCACCGGTGAGAGAGAGGAACAACATTACTTTTTTAGTTATGTCTTAAAGGAGTAGTTCACTTTTAAAAACACTTTTGCTGATACTTTACTCACCCCCATGTCATCCAAGATGTCCATGTCTTTCTTTTTTCAGTCGAAAATAAATTAAGGTTTTTGATGAAAACATTCCAGGATTTTTCTCCGTATAATGGACTTCAATGGGAACCAAATGGTTCAAGGTCAAAATGAGAGTTTTAGTGCAAACTGTTCAAAGGGCTTTAAACGATTCCAGTTTGTGACTCTCCTGTTTGCACTTGTTTATCAAAATGAACGAATCTTTTTTCGAGTCATTTGGTTCATTCAACGAACAAAATGAACGAATTGAGTCGGGAAAAGATTTGTTCATTTTGATGAACAGGAGAGTCACGAACGCTCATCACAGAACAGAGCAAGGCGAGCATTTGTGCTTATAAAACTTAAACTTTGTTATTTATTTATTAAATGAGCGATCGTTTCGCTTGATAAGACCCTTATTCATCGCCTGGAGTCGTTTAAAGCCCTTTGAAGCTGCACTGAAACTGTCTTTTGGACCTTGAACCGTTTGGTTCCCATTCTATGGATAAAAATCCTGGAATTTTTTCATCAAAAACCTTAATTTCTTTTCGACTGAATGCCATGGGGGTTAGAAAATTATCAGCAAAAGTTTTTTTTTTTTTAAAAGTGAACTACTCCTTTAAGATTTAAGATATGAGACTCTTCTGCTCACCAAGGCCGCAGTTATTTGATTAAAAACAGCTAAATCTGTAATATTGTGAAATATTATTATAATTTTAAATAGTGAATATATAGTCAAAAATGTATTTATTCCAGTGATCAAAGCATCATTACTCCAGTCTTCAAGTGTGACCTTCAGAAATCAATCTAATATTCTGGTTTAATATCAGCTAATAATCATAAATGCTCAAAAAACATTTAGGATTATTATCAATGTTGAAAGCAGTTGTGCTGATTCACATTTTTTTGAAAATGGTGTTACATTTAATTTCAGGATTCTTTGATGAATAGAAAGAAAATAGACAACAGCATTATTATATTTATTATAGTATACAGCACAATTTATTGAAAAAATATTATATTTTCTGATCAATTTAATGTGTTCTTGCTGAATAAAAGCATTTATTTCTTACCCCAAGCTTTTAAATGGTAGTGCATCACAGTTTCCAATACATTTTACGCATCAAAAGTGTTCAACATTGATAATAATCAGAAATTTTTCTTGAGCAGCAAATTTCTAAAGGATCATGTGACACTGAAGACTGGATTAATGATTCTGAAGTGAAAACATCATCAGAAAAGCCTAAATTAAATAACATTTCGCACTATTACCGGCCGCATTTTTAATCACGTAAATGCAGCCTTGATGAGCAGAAAATACTTTTTTTGTTGACATTTACGATTGAATCGCCATAACACACTGTAATTAGTTTGTTTTGGACCTGGCAGTTCCCCGCTGTACTCCTGGAGTGTCCGGGTTCAGAGGCCTCATCCTCGGTGTGGTCCAGGACCTGCTGTGTCCACTCCTCGTGTTGAGCACCGGGCTGGTTCTCCTGCTGTCCGAGGCGCACTGTCACCGGCCTCACTCGGACTGTCATCTGCTGGTGTACCTGGACGCGGGTCTCTCCTCGGCCGCGGTGCTGGTGCTGTTGTCCGCGGCCGTGCCGAAGCTCCACCGCTACGGGCTGCTGGTCCTGCAGGCGGTGCCGCGGCACGTGTGCGTCGGTCAGGTGCGTCGCTGCGTCCGTGCGGTTCCCGGCGTGTTGTCGGTTCACGAGCTGCACGTGTGGGAAATGTCCGACGCGCTGCTGGTCGCGTCGCTGCACGTGCACTGTCCCGACGCGCTGGACGCAACGCAGTGTGAAGACCTCATAGCGAAGATTAAACAGGTTCTGGGCTCGTTCGGCATCGAGCACTGCACCGTGCAGCCCGAGCTCCTCCCCGGGCCTGCCGGCGCGTCCGTCTGCAGTCTGCGCTGCGGGAAACAGTGTGTGGAGAAGCTCTGCTGTTCCCAACAACTGGCGGATGACGAATCCCACATTCCCAAGACGGAGAGTCCCGTGTGTGTCTCTCCAGCGCCTCAGACTGAGGATGAGATGGTCAGAGATGTGGTTATTGAGAACACCTACCTCTGATTTAACGAGGTTGTTGGTGTTTCTGTGAGCTGACAGCGTTGCAATTACTGTACATGATGAAGACTCCAGCAATAAACGCCTTTAATATATACAACAACAAAAGAAAGTTGAATTTATCACTACGGAGGAGGCTCAGGTCAAATCACCATATAGCGCATTTTACAATATGAATTACGGAAGCATATTGCATTCACTTGAGGAAACAAATCTGTTTTTCTGAATTAACAAGTTAATTATCTCAGAATAATGAGATAATTGTTCTTGGATAAAAAGTTTTTGCTCTGTTTTTCTGAATGAATGAACTGAAGAGAAACAGAGCAAAAACTTTTTTCCATGCAAAATTATCTCGTAATTCTGAGATAATTTACTCGTTAATTCAGAAAAACAGAGCAAAAAAAAATTTCCATGCAAAATTATCTCGTAATTCTGAGATAATTAACTCGTTAATTCAGAAAAATAGAGCAAAACATTTTCCATGCAAAATTATCTCGTAATTCTGAGATAATTAACTCGTTAATTCAGAAAAACAGAGAAAAAACTTTTTTAATGAAAAATTATCTCGGAATTCTGAGATAATTAATTTGTTAATTCAGAAAAACAGAGTAGATTTGTTTCCTCAAGTTAATGCAATACACTTTCGTATTAATTGTCCTAATATGGGACATTTTTGCATTTCAGAATGTGACATATTTGCGTTGTGTTGCCAAAACATTAAATCCACACCCAATACTGTAAGCGCCATTTATTAGCAAGATTGCTTATGTCATTAATATTTGTTACTCTTTCATTCTTGTGTTTATTTTGGTATATTGGTGCAACTTTTGTATTGGAACTCTTATTTTGAAGTTGTATTGGAAGGTAATGGGCTCTATGCACGGCGTTATTTCCGGTGAAGGTGTAAGGATGCTCGATAACTTCTGCCGATCGTAGAGTCCAATGCAATACAGAGAATTTATTTTGAGTTTTATACTCAAATCCATGGTTATACTAAAGAAACGTTAGTCACAAAAACAGACAAAAACAGACACCCCTCGTTGTGTTTATGCTTCTTTTTAAAATTATATTAAATAAACATAACTATATATAAAATTACATCTAAGCGTATGAAAGTTTCGTTTCAAAGACAGTAAATTTTGAAGACTCTGCCGTTATCCCGTTTTCCTCGGTTTTCCTCCACTTTAATCTCCACAACCGGAAATGGACGAGCATCCTTGCGTAAAATGCGGAACGCATATAGCCCCTTATTAGGGACATTCTAAAACGCTTAACGTGAAAAACGCTTAACGTGGCTTACTGTACTAAGACAGTGATATTAAAAGACCAAATTCAGTAAGCGTTTTTCACGTTAAGCGTTTTAGAATGTCCCCATTATTAAACGAGTGTGGACGGCGGAGCAAGAGCTTTACTTATGTAGTTTACTTGTTTTACTTATGTAGTGGCTATCTTCATTGTTCGTAATTATAAACTTCAACTAAACTTGCTTCTCTTATCATAACCACATTGTATGAATGACATAAGACAGTTTTACGCGTTGACGCCACGTTGATGCCACTACAAATACCATTTAAAAACCTCAGGATGTGTCCTAATCAAATCAAAAGATAAAATTCAGATAAGCCATTCATAACAGAAATAATGAATATTAGTCTTCTTAGTGCAAGTTGTCTGAGACAATATGCAGACTTTTAATGTGAGACACTGAAAAATCTATGTTAAAAGACCAAAAACCACCTCCTTAGGTTGAATAATAAAAGTAAAATAGTAAAATCTTCTTAAGTTTGTATGGATGAGACATGGATACCTGAACATCATCAGATAATAACAAACACAAGCAAAATAACAGCAACAACCACAGCTTGATCTTTAATTCATAAACATGCTGTTAACTCCAGTTGAAGTCAATTAACTCCATACGTTTAGCCTAATCGTAACTGTCTTTAATAAAAACAGACGGATGTTAAAGTTGGACTCCTACAATTGTGGAAACATTTTAAAATGTGTTTCAAATATGATCATCAGGCTTTTGAGGAAGGTCTTCATTTCTCATTGCATTTTAAAACTACAGAGCTTTGATCATATATATATATATATATATATATTACTAATCATTCTTACTAATGCTATTGAGAGATATAGAATGACAACTGATATTTCTGTCCGTTGTTGTGCCTTAATTCACATTATTCTTTACTTGTGTTGTTGTTACTGTTAAGATCTCATTTATTCACATTACAAGCATCAGAACGTCATCTTACTTTCTGGTCATAAATATTAGCATTTGGACCAAACTGCATATTTTGCTCAGTTAGTTCCTCTAAATAAAAAGTGTTTTTCCCCCGTCTTCGAGTTTGAACTTCATATTCTCACTATATCATGTTATATGAGCCATGAAAGCCTGATATATTAAATATTATATATATATATATATATATATATATATATATATATATATATATATAATGTAAGGGCTTTACAGAGTTAAAAAATGTTGCAATATAATGCATTGTATCAAGTTTAGTATGGTTTTGTATTTTGCATAAATGAATGGCATGCATTTTTATATAATAAATCTCCTCATAAACATAAAACTGCCCCTTGAAATTAGACAAGTATTGAAAATGAAGTACAATTGTCTCATTCTCAGTCACTATATGACTTTACAAGTTTGTGTAAGTTTTCTTACATAAGTGTACAAGTTTTCTCCACTTCTGTAGCTCATATGATGTTTGCAAAAGCCACCTTAGAAAGCAAGGGCCCATGTTGAGACTCCAGCTGCAAACAAACTTGTGTGATGTAATATTTAGGTTAAGGTTAATTCCTTTTTTTAATATATATATATATATATAATTATATATGTATGTATATATGTATATATACAATGTAATTATTATATATTATGTAATTGTTATATATATATATATATATATATATATATATATATATATATATATATATATATATATATATATATATATTATATAGTCTTTGTAAAGAGACTGATATGCAACATTTATAATTTTTATTAGCATATAAACAGAAGAGACAAAAGGTATATATATATATATAATAAAATGACTTCAAAGACTCTTTGAAGGTATTTTTAAATCGTCAATTACTTTTATTTTGAAATACTTACAGCGCCTTCCCACTTCCGCCAGTACTTTGCAACATCCGCTCTTTCGCCGTTTCCTTACAACGGCTACTACAATTAAATAGCTTTTATCATGAAGAAATTATAAAATACCTACTTAAATATCCAACACAATATGAATGTTTTGCCTTGAAAACGACGATCATGGCGAGGATTGGAGAAATAATTCATCTGAACGTCGGGGGCAAAAGGTTTGTGTATGAAGCTACTGTATATCCTGCTCGTAACAAGCCACACAACTTACTTTATTAACACACTAGTGCAGTCTTCATAACTGCTAGGCCTAGTCTGCAGTATTGTTATCCCGCTTTCTGTGACAGTAATGAACATCTGCAGAAGGCCTGACCTGTGACCCTGAACCCGCTTTTCTTGTTCTTGTTTTTGTTCTGTCTGGACATATAAACACAGGTTCAGCACCTCCAGACAGACTCTGACATGGGTTCCGGACTCCTTTTTCTCAAGGTTTGTGTGTCAGATCAAGCTAAAACAGATCAAATCATCCCTTCTTCTATGAATATTGGTCATGCAAGGGCTTTTATAACGTAATAAGGTTTTATAATAATAACAGCTGACCACACTGATTTATTATTTGTGTCATGGTTATTATCACGACAATTAAAAGTTGATTATATGACAGCTTTTTCCAATAATAAATACGTATTGTTATGTTCTGTCTAGTTTATTAAGTGGACGGATCTCAACACTTAAAGATGAGACTGGAGCGGTAAGGTTTACTGAATCATAATAATAATAATAATAATGTTGCAGATCAGTCTGTCTTTACAAAGGTTCTACTCTTTGAGCCATATAAATGTTCATAATGTAAAATTTGTGTTTTCAGATATTCATAGACCGAGATCCATCTCTGTTTGCGCCCATTCTCAACTTCCTGCGCACTAAAGAGCTTCACCCCAGGTAAAACACATGTCTGTATTCATTATAAATGTGTCAGATGGTTTGTTAACTGTGATGTGGATTATTTAACACTGTGAAATGGAGTCTCTTATTATAAAAACTGTTTTAATGGCAGGTCAATAGAAGTTCACTTATTAATGCACGAGGCAGAGTTCTATGGGATCACGCCGCTGGGTAAGACCAGTATCATTCTCATGGTTTTATATATATATATATATATATATATGAAGAGTTCAGATGCAAATGCCTCTAAATGCCATTTGAAATTTTCTTCTTTAATGATGATTTTTATCAAACTTGTATATTTAAGTTCAGTAATTTCACTTAAATGGCAATGATAATTACCTATTAATTGTTATTTAAGTGAAATTACTGAACTTAAATATACAAGTTTAAAAAAATCATCATTAAAGAAGAAAATTTCAAATGGCATTTAGAGGCTTTTGCATCTGAACTCTTCATATATATGTTTATTACAGAATTGAAGTTTTAGTGTGTGTTTTCCTCCTCAGTGAGAAAGCTGCAGTTGTGTGATGAGTTGGATCGCTCCTCCTGTGGGAACGTGTTGTTTAATGGATACTTGCCGCCTCCAGGTACAGAAAACACAACTCTGACGACGTATAACAGGACAGCATCTTTCAGTCATAAAGACGTGTGTGTGTTCCAGTGTACCCAGTGAAGCGCAGGAACAGGCACAGCGTGGCAGGACCCCAGTTCATGGGTGGCCGTTCGGAGCCTGTGGAAAGGGCCCCTGTGAGGAGGAGTAACACGATGCCACCCAACCTGGGCAACGCTGGCATACTGGGCAAAGCCGTCATTGAGGAGCGGGTGCCAGGTGTTCTATTCTACTTACATTTTCTCCACTTCTCTATTCAATTCTGTTCCACATAATGTTATATTCCATTCTACTCTCTCTGACAAACTGTGTTCTATTCTGTTCTGATATATTTACTTTTATTTTAGAACTTTTTTTTGATATTCTACTGATTAACTTTGGCCTACTCAGCTCTATTTTGTTCTTTTCCTACTCTATTCTGTGGTTTATTCTATTTTATTTTACTTTGTTCTCTTCGGTTCGATTCTGTGTAGCTTGATTCTACTCATTTCTACTCTACTACTCAGGTTAACTCTACTCACTTTCATTCTATCCTACTAATTTCTATGCATGGTTTATGCTGTTCTGTTTTATTCTAATTTTTTACCTTCTCAATTCAGCTCTGATTTGCTCTTCTATTTGATTTTGTTCTACACTGATCAGTTATTTAACATTATATTCACTTTTTCTCATTTTTATGCTGGTTTAGTTGAATCTACTGGTTTATTCTATTCTGTTCTATATTTCATTCTCCTAATTTCTACTCTGATTTGCTTTATTCTAGTTTATTCTACTCATTTCTGTTTTACTTTACACATTTCTACTCTTCAGCCCTACATCTCTGTTTTATTCTAATCTAGTTTACTCAGTTCTGCTCTAATCAGGTTTATTCCATTATACTATGGATTATTTTATTCTGTTTTAAATTATTTTACTGGTTGATTCTATTTTACTTTCCAAATTTCTTCTCTGATTTGTTCTATTCTACAGGTAAAACTCGAAAAATTAGAATATTGTGCAAAAGATCATGTATTTCAGTAATTCAAATTAAAACGTGAAACTAATATATTTAGTTTATATAACTATATACATATGCATGATTATACTTTTCAGAGGGCCGATGTTTCTGTATTTAAAATTCTTTTTTGAATTAATTTCATGTTATATTCAAATTTTCTGAGATTTTGAATTTGGGGTTTTTATATTTAAGAAAAAAATATTATTTCTATATAAAATATTTATATGTATATGTATAAATCTATACACAGTATATACATAAAAATATTTCTTAAATAAACACAAGCATGTGTGTGCATATATATATATATATATATATATATAATTATACACAGTGCACCCACATATATTATGTAAGCACAAACTTTTATTTTGGATGCGATTAATCGTTTGACAGCCCTAATGATTATACTTTTCAGAGGGTGGACATTTCTGTATTTAAAATTCTTTTTTTGAATTAATTTCATGTAATCAAATTTTCCGAGATTTTGAATTTGGGGTTTTCATAAACTGTAAGCCATAATCATCAAAATTATAACTTTTGCACGATATTCTAATTTATTATTTTTTTGTATTCAGTTCTGTTTTATTTGACTAATTTCTACTCAATTAGTCACACTTATCTACTCAGCTCTGGTTTATTCTGTTTTATTTTACTCAAATAATGCTATCCTACTTGTACTCTGATTTGTTGCATTCTGTTTTTCTCAATTCTATGGTTTAATCCATTATATTTGACTGATTTAAGGTGTACACCCTTACTTCATGCCAAATGCTCATTTTTCGTGTGCTCTCTGTTGTGTAGGTCCGGTCTCTGATCCAGGCATGGTCAGGATCATATGTGGTCATCATAACTGGATTGCTGTGGCCTATGCCCAGTTTGTGGTCTGTTACAGGTAGGGTTTCTGTGTCACCAATAGAAATGATTTGGATGCACATATGGGCCGCTTTAACACACGCATCATCATGCTCAGGGTGAAAGAGTCCACTGGATGGCAGCAGGTCTTCACCAGCCCTCGGCTCGACTGGGTGATTGACAGGGTGGCTCTGAATGCCAAGGTCATGGGCGGGTCACTGGGAGACAACGATAAGATGGTTGCGGTGGCATCAGGCACTGAGATCATCCTGTGGGCGATCTGCCCTGATGGCAATGGCAATGAAATTGGTACGGTCTAATTTTATTAAATGTGTTTTTTGCAGATGTTTGGAAAGCTCCTGATGTGTGTGTGTTTGTTCTGATCCACAGGTGTGTTCAGTTTGAATGTGCCGGTCGAGGCTTTGTTCTTCGTGGGAAACCAGCTCATTGCCACCAGTCACACGGGTAAAGTGGGCGTTTGGAACGCCGTCACCAAACACTGGCAGGTACGCCGAGCTCTTCATTTGATGAGATTTGGCATTTGCAATGAAACTAAGAGAAGTGCTCAATTCCTGATGTCTTCACCTCTCTGTGCAGAACCAGGATGTTGTTCCCATCAACAGTTGTGACACAGCCGGATCTTTCCTCATTTTGGGATGTAATAATGGATCTATTTACTATATAGGTAAAGTGACCATCAAACCAGAATTGTTTTATGTTCGTCAAGTTTTGAAGCGTAAAAAAGCGCTAACAGAGTAAAAGACAAGAAAAACACAAATAATACAACAAACAAAACGATATTAACCCTCAGGTGCTCTTCGTTTCGGAGTCGCACTTTTTATCTTCCCGGGCAAAAGTGACCGGGCACCTACAAATTAAATTTCCTCCATCCCAGTAAAACCAATGCAATTTATTTTTGTTCTATAATATTTATTCTTTGTAATTTAGTATTTTGAGACAATTTGATTGAATTTATTAATATTTATGCAATATTTATGGTCTATTTTTGCCATGGAAAAAAAAATATATATATATATATTGTTTTTTTACAAAAAATATTAATGCAGTATTTTAGTTTAATATAGAGTCTAGGCCTTCAGAAAAAAAAATTTTTTTTTTGAAGAAAATTAGCACCATCTGGTTACTGTATAGAGAAAAAGCGTAGAATCATGGTGTAACCACTAGATGGCATGTACAGCTCTCTATGGAGAAGCATGTGAATTCCCCAGCTGTTTATGAACACATTTTTTTTTGTTGTTGGTGGATTTGAATATATAGTTGAAACAATCTCAAAAACGATTTTTTATTAAAAAAAATGTTAGAAAAAAAATAAATAAAAATTGTGAATTCTTGTGTTTTTGTCAATTTCCCATTCATTTCCTATGGGTCGGTCATTTTTGACCGAAGACCACAAGTGTGACTATTTTTTTTTACGACCTCTTAGCATGCTCGGATCATGACCTCATTTTTTTTTTTTTGTATTCTCATACACAATGCCATAAAAGTCACCAAGTTTCATAACATTCCGATGAAGCTGTGATTTTTAGAAATTCAAAACTTTTTTGGGTCAAAAATGACCGAAGAGCACCTGAGGGTTAAACAAGACCACACCCTGATTAGCATCTGAGAGGTTCCTGTCCCATCTATTCACCCCAAACTCTGATGCTTCAGAACAGTCATAAATCAATATGAGTTATGAGTGTTTAATCCAAGCCCTCATCCTCTTTCAGATGTGCAGAAGTTCCCGTTGCGGATGAAGGATAATGATCTGTTGGTGACTGAGCTGTATCGAGATCCCACTGAAGATGCTATCACTGCTCTGAGTGTCTACCTGACGCCCAAAACAAGTAACACACCAGCCTCAGATGTGCTCACACACACATTTAAGCACACTTGTTTGTTTCATGTATGTGACGATGATGAATGTTTGCTCAGGTGACAGTGGGAACTGGATCGAGATCGCGTACGGCACCAGTTCAGGCTCGGTGCGGGTCATAGTTCAGCATCCAGAGACGGTGGGATCCGGTCCACAACTCTTCCAGACCTTCTCTGTTCACCGCAGTCCTGTGACCAAGATCATGCTGTCCGAGAAACACCTCATCTCTGGTGAGGAGGCCGTGTCTCGTACGCGCTCGAGTGACCCGAGTCACGAGTCGCACGGTGTATTTGTGGCAATAGCTAACCATTTTGGGTGGTTGTTAGGCAGTTGCTAGGGTGTTTTAGATGGTTGCTATGGTGTTGCTAGGTGGTTACACACTAACTCGCTCACTAGATCTCACACACACATACTAACTCGCTCACACACTCAGAGTTTATGAGTTTAGAGTTCATAAGTTTAAATGAAGTGAATTTAGTAATTTGAAGTAAACTCTAAGCTCATGTGTACAATACATTGAATGGGTCAAAATTATCGATTATTTAATTTTATTATAAATTATATTATTTTTCTTTTATGCCAAAAATCATTAGGATATTAAATAAAGATCATGTTGCATGAAGATATTATTAAATTTACTACCATATAAATATATATATATATATAAATATTTTTGTGAGTGGATGCCGCAAAATCGTGAACATAAATGTGCTCTCAATGTTTTATTATTTTATTGCACCCTCATATTTCAAATAATTGACCCATGTGACTGCTTTTGTGGTCCAGGGTCACCCATGCCGAATACAGTGGGGATGAGAGGTGTAAAATAAAGTAATCCCCAAAATATTAAAATGAATATTTTTATGGAGTAACCGTTTTATATACGGTGAATGAGTTTATTGAGTCTAGAACAGCTGAGAGCTGTTGTTAGACCCTAAAATCCCCTTAGCTGTTCTAAATTCACTGTAAAACACGGCTTCAAGGGGATTATTGCTTTTATAAAAGGGTTACTCTATAAAAACATTAATTTTAATATTTATTTTATTCATACAATAAACACCAGCAACAAAAATATAGCATTATAACACATTTATTCCTCTGCCAAGCAATGAGAGGTTGCCGAGCAACACATGCGGTCACAGTGTGTGTGTGTAACTGATGTAATGTGCTCACAGGTGTGTGTGTGTGTGTGTTGAGTAATTTACTCAACCAATCAGAATCAAGGGCCTGAACTATCCGTTTAATAGTCCATATATCTCCCTCCATGCAGTGTGTGCTGACAACAATCACGTGCGGACCTGGACGGTGACGCGTTTCCGAGGCATGATCTCCACCCAGCCTGGCTCCACTCCTCTCACCTCCTTTAAGATCCTCTCATTGGACGATATCGACGGTCACGGAGGCTGTGCTGCCGGCACTGAAATCGGTACGAAGGAATGATCATTCTCAAAAATGGCCCGTCTCATCCCTTTAGGACTAAAAGTGTGGACGGTTTAAGATCTTTCAGTAGAAGTGTCTTATGCTCACCAAGGCTGGATGTATTTGATTATTTTTATCATTTAGAACAACTATTTTATATTGTGATATATCATGAACTGTAATTTATTCCAGTGATCATAGCTGAATTATTTAGCATCATTACTCCTGTCTTCAGCGTCACATGACCCTTCAGAATTCACTCTAATATGATGATCTGATGCTTATGATCAGTACTCTATTATCAATAATGATTCTTATTATTATCAATAGTGCAAACCTTTTTTGGACAAATGTGGGCAAAATAGTTTTGATTTATTTTTAAAAAATACTTTCCTTGATCTGAGCGATAAAAGACTTGGCTACTTTTCCTAAGTTTGCCTCCTGAACACACACAATTTTTTTTTACTTATTTTTTACAATGTTAAGTGGGTGAAAAAAAACCTCCTTAATCTTGTATTTGGGTCAAAAATAGGCACCCATAGAAATGAATGGGAAAAACTGTAATTTAGAGCACTCTAAAATAAGCCAAAATAAGACACCAGGTGACAGCAAAGTCACTTCATCTTTAGGTTTTAGCTCTAAGAACTTATTGGAATGATGTTTTAATGTAGTAAAAATAAAACATAAAAATAAGCATAATTTACATAGGAAATATGGTACTTTTTGAAGTAAATAAATTCAAAAATACCCCCAAAATAAAAAAACCCACCATAAATGGATAGACAAAACTTTATCGAAGACAGTGATATAACATTTATAATAAATAAAAATTAGAATCACACTTGAGTCCTCTGTGCCCACATTTGTCCACAGTTACAGGATTAAGGGCTATAAAGTGAATACGGTTTGAGGGCAACTATTTTTGTTGAAACTGCATTTATTTCATAACACAAAATCCTTTGTAACATTAAAATCTTTACTGTCACTTGTGATCTATTTAATGTGCCCCTGCTGAATTAAAGTGTTCATTTCCTATACAAAAAATCTTTTAAATTGCACAGTTTATACAATACGAAGCAGTGACTGTTTTCAGCACTGATAATAATCAAACATGCATCAGATCCTCATATTAGAGTGATTTCTGAAGGATCATGTGACACTGAAGACTGGAGTAATGATGCTTTGATCACAGGAATAAATACAATTTTACAATATATTAAAATAAATAATATAAAACAAATTCCCACTATTACTGATGTGATTTGTCTATTTTTGATCAAATAAATGCAGTCTTGGTGAGCAGAAGATACTTTCAAAGACCTATTATTATTATATTATTCCCAAATTTTGACTGGTAGTGTATATTGATTGATTGATGGATTGATTGATTGGTGGATGGGTCAGACGTGATGGTGCCGCTTGTTTACAGGGCCGTACGGGGAGCGTGACGAGCAGCAGGTGTTCATCCAGCGTGTGGTTCCTGACACGGATAAACTCTACGTAAGGCTCTCCTCCAATGGGAAGAGGTCAGTTTAATATAGCCACCGTTAAACTGTTGTCTGCATGTTACACAAACTACATTTCCAGCTAGGGCTGTCACTTTGAGGAAGAAAATCCTGTTCGATGTTTGAGACATAAGTATCGATGGTAAAATCGATTATCCATCTCTAAAGACGTTTCTATTTTCAACACCAAATACAGGCAAATCCACGGACACCTAACAGGCATTAGGGCGAATGTTAAGTCAGCAATATTCCTGATGATTTATTAGCATGAAGTTTCAGCACAATGACAAACAGGAGCGCAACATTCAGGGATTGAGATTAACTCCCTTTGGCGGGAAATGCTGTCAAACCACGAGCCAATGTGTGTTTCTCAATTTTGTGTGAGACAAATTTGCGTGGATTTAGCTCAAATACGCAACTCATGAGTCCTCATGATCCAATAAATACAGCATATTGCAGAATCTGCGCATTTCTGGCGCACTTGAACACCAGTGTTGGGAAAATTCACTTTCTACATGAACTAGTTCAAAGTTCAGTTCACAAATTATAATGGACTTCAATGGGAACCAAACGGTTCAAGGTCCAAAAAACAGTTTCAGTCCAAACTGCAAACTGTTCAAAGGGCTTTAAACGATTCCAGACGATGAATAAGGGTCTTATCAAGCGAAACGATCGCTCATAACAAAGTTTAAGTTTTATAAGCTCAAATGGTTGCTTTGCTCTGTTCTGTGATGCGCGTTCGTGACTCTCCTTTTCGAGCTCATTTATCAAAATGAACAAATCTTTTTCCAAGTCAATTCGTTTATTTCGTTCATTGAATGAGCCAAATGACTTAAAAAAAGATTTGTTGATTTTGATGAACAAGTTCGAACAGGAGAGTCACGAACGCGCATCACAGAACAGAGCAAGGCGAGCATTTGAGCTTATAAAACTTAAAATTATTTATTTATTTTTTTAAATGAGCGATCGTTTCGCTTGATAAGACCCTTATTCATCATCTGGAATCGTTTAAAGCCCTTTGAACAGTTTGCAGTTTGCACTGAAAGTGTCTTTTGGACCTTGAACCGTTTGGTTCCCATTGAAGTCCATTATATGGAGAAAAATCCTGGAATGTTTTCATCAAAAACCTTCATTTCTTTTCGACTGAAGAAAGAAAGACATGGACATCTTGGATGACATGGGGGCGAGTAAATTATCAGCAAAAGTTTTTTGAAAAGTGAACCTTTCCTTTAAGGCCTGTTTACGTGTGTTTTATCCAGGTTTTCGTCTGTAAGGCTCTATAGATGCGCGTTCGTGACTCTCCTTTTCGAACTCATTTATCAAAATGAACAAATCTTTTTCCAAATCAATTCGTT